TAAGGCCACACACGCAGTGGTACTGACGAATGTCTTGCGTTTTTATCGTTGCTAATTAACTGGACGGAAGCCGAACGCAGCTGAGAGGACAACAGGCGTTTTCGTATTTGCATATACTGCACACGTTGAACTTCTTTCGCACCGTACGTAGCCAACCGGGGCTCATGGGAAGCGCCGGAATGTCGTCATTCGTGCTCTGGGTTGCGTCTCCCTGACTTGATCATCAGTCAGCTAAAAGTGCCGTCACCGCAAACACAACTCTGAGCTGCAGGTTCGTTCACATTTGAGTAGCTAACTGGACATCTGCGGGGGAAAAAAAAAAACAGCTTTACAGCTCATCGGATTGCTCCGCCAAAAATAAATATTCTGATTCAGAGTCACCCTTACAGAGCTGTCAATCCATTCGGTTTAGCCCGTATTCTTGTACAGGGAAATTGAGTTTTCAGGTCCATACGGCGTTACAGCCGTTTCAATACGGGCAACAACAAAAAAAACAACGTGTCTATTAATTTGTGTTTCTCCCTTGTGATGAGACTTTGTCGGATGAACGTTGAGATTTATAAAGGCACGGGGGTGACCAATAAGGTCTGAATTGATCTGTAATAAGGTAGGGCACTGACGAGAATTTACAACGAGACCCAACTCGTTCCGGGCGAATGTCGCAACGCAGCTGACGCGAACCCGATTCACGTCGAGTCGCATTTGAGGCTGCGCTCGCCATCAACAGATCACAGTTCTCTGGGCCAGCGGTGGACATTCCACATTTCTATGGCGGGGGGCGCGCGTATCCGCATCCGGCGATCATCATCGTCACGCGAACTCCGACCATCCTCGCAGCAGCGGCGGCGGCTTCTGGCTGCTGGCCATCGTACCAAGATGATGGTCACCGCATCGCGTGGCGCTTCCAGACGCGCCGTCTGGAACGCTCTTCCATTCCGAGCTTAGGAAGCCACTGGAGCCATGCATCATCGAGATTGAAAACTCAATTCTTTAGAACCGCGTTCCCCAAGCTCTTCTTCTTATTATAACATTGTTCGATTCAAGATCACGTGTTACACTCATATCTATTACCACTGAGACGGTGCTGTTGTAGCTGGCCGCTTGACGCTCAGCACCTGTGTTGCACACATATATTGAAGAAAAAAATAAATCTAGAATGAAAACTAATTTCTTTAGAACTGCTTTCTGTGCTTAGTTTGTTGTCCTTCCCCCGCACCTCCGATGAGCGCTGTCGGCTACGTACGGTGCGAAAGAAAGTTCAACACACATACGTACATGCTGTTGAACTCTCCACAAAGTAGCGGCCCCAGAGGGATGATGATGAGGATGCTGCTGCTGATGATAATGGGGTTGAGTCAAACCCCGAGAACGATTGTTTCAGGGCGCTTTGTACGTTGAAATCATCACGAGTATTGAACCCACCGAAACCAGGAATGAAACTCGTGCGCCCGTTCCTGTTGTGGGTCGAGTCCGCTGGCTCTTACACGCCCGATCGCATCACCACGGGGGGGGGGGGGGGGTGTCTCGCCGCATCGTCAATCGCTGTCAAACCCTCAAGGAATAGGAAGAGTAACAAGTAAATAAAAACAACAACAACACACGCACCAACCTCCCCCCCCCCCCCCCCCCCCACCTACGTACGTTATCGCTGCCAACACGCAGTTTCAATTTGGGAACTCGCAAAACCAAATCGTCGATTCGCCGGGTGGTTCTTTCTCTCTCTCTCGTTCCGTTCGCTCGCATCTTCAATACACAGCGATACTGCTGCCTGGCGCCTATGAATCTGGGGGGGGGGGGAGGTGGACGAGGAGGAGGAGGGGTGTGGGAGGCTCCGGGGTTTGTCGCTCTGCCTGTGGTTTGTCATGCAAATCGACGTTCCCACACCACGAAGAAGAGGGAACGTGGGAAGACGGCCACTTGGGCCATTTAGTGGCCGATGTCCAAGATAAGATTGTGCCAGGGGTTGATGATGGTGATGGTGGTGGTGATGATGATGGTGATACTCTTTTTTCCCCCGCCCGGACGCCTCGCGCCTCGCCAACACGTGATGGGGTTGGGGTTCGAGTTGGGATGCGAGTGTGTGTGTACGTGTGTGTACTCGTGTGTGTGTACGTGTGTCTGTGTGTGTACGTGTGTCTGTGTGTGTACGTGTGTGTGTGTATGTCTGTGTGTGGGAAGCGGTAGTGTAGCGGTTAGCGCGCTGCGCTGCGAACCCAGCGACCCGGGTTCGATTCCCGCTCACGGCGAACACCAGTGACGATTATCTGAACTGGTCCTGGGCCTCCCCTAGGTAGACTCAGCCTCAAATGAGTACCTGGTGCGGTGTGCAGTAAGCATCGCCACTGGGGGGACAAAGGCGGTCGGCCGTGGTGCTGGCCACTCACCCCCTCGTGTACTGTTCCGGCCTTCATAGGTGCTCGCGAACAGCACTTGCCCCTACAGCCTGTTACAAGCTATACGGGGGATCTTCATCTTTGTTTTTATATGGACGGTGGCTGCTACAATCCACGGCTAACGTCACCTGCAGCAGTCGATGCTACCTCTACTCGAGTGACAACTCGACCTTAAATGAGTTATCAGAGGCCCCGATGTGTAACCGTTAACCGCTCTCGGGTCGTGCCGGAATTAACAATAGATGCTCGCTGATAGTTGCCAATAGAACTTCCCCCCACGAGTCCGTACGGGCTATATAGAGGCACCTTTGTCTTTGTGGGTAAAGAGCAGGTGTATGATTAAACCATCAGGTTGCTCACGACATCATTATGGTCAGCATAAGACGCGCCATCAACAACAGCATATACAAATCATCATCATCGGAAGCAAATGCAATCATCATAATCAGCAGCGAAAGCTGAGACAATGATTGATCATTATCATATTCATTCGAATCATCTCAATCCATCATCAGCAGACTTATCATCGTCATAGGTTAGAGGCACCATCATTATATGAATGTAATTCATATTCAATCATTTAATCATCATCATCATCAGCAGCAGACTCAATCCAGTATCATCATCAGTCAAAGTAATTTCCTGCTCAAATTAGCAGTGGGACGGTGATCGTTACCCATTTTCAGCCTTGCGCCAGTGGTTGGAAATTCCACATTCCTATTGGGGGGGTAAGTATTATCACAAAAACAAATCCCGATGACCAAATCGATGGGAAAAAAACCCCGATTTTGTCACATCTCGTAAGCTAAGAGGGCTTTAAGCCTGGATAGCGCTCGGATGGGCGACCAACGTGAACAACAACAGGTCATTACAAGCTGCTATGGGGGCAAAGCGGTGGGCAGCGGAGGGCAAATGCACCCACATCCATCGTTGTACCGTATTCCTATGCTCCCCGCATTCACCGACGCACACTGCCCAGCGTGGCGAAGTCCGTTCACGCGTACCTACCCCCAACCCACCCCCCCACCAACGATCCACCCATCTAGCAGTGGATTGTCTGCACGTGCGCACACAAACACGAGCAAGAGAATGGGGATTCGCGCGGGTGTTGGACTATAACTCGGACAAGACTGTACTCACTGGCGCTGCCGACTAAAACCAGATTTTTTTTTTTATCCCACGCTCTGCCAACGCCGCCCAGGTCTTGCCAAATGTAATTAATGACGTGATGAATTACAGGCATTTGCATGCGAAAGACGCCGGTTTTGTTGACATATTGCTCTTAACTGCATTGGCCACAAGTTACAATTGGCACTCGGGAATACTTGGTTTGGCCCAATGAGTTTGGAGACAGAACCATTAATCTGTGTCTTTGTAATTGTATGTGTGTGTGCACGTGTGTCTTTGTGGATGCGTATGCTGGCAAGAGTGGGGGAGCACAGGTGGTGCCCGTTCGTCAGTCATCTCAGTCGGTTAAACCCACAACACCTGGGTCTGTCCCGTGACCTCCTGCCAGCCGGCGAGCCATCAATACTTCACGTGATGGCCTCAAAGTGCACCTAGCGTGGCACAAGAGCTGCGGCTCTTTGCATGTGGATTGTTGCATCGCAACAAAAACTGTGAGAGATGGCGATGTCTTAAAAAAGTCCTTCATCCAGCAGTGGATAGAAAATGACTGATGCTCATAATAATACGCTACGATAAAATACAAAGCTGTGGGAGAGGTGGAGCCGTGGTGATCAGCACCACACTATGAACCTGACGACCTGAGTTCGACTCAGGGCCACCTCGAACATCGGTGCGGATGTTGGGTAGCCATCGAACAAAGACGGTGGTCACAGCATCGCGCTTTCAGCTGCGCTTCAGAGGCCGTCTGGAACGCTCTTCCTGCCGATATTAGGAGGCCACTGGAGCGATGCCCTTTTAAATCATCTAGATTGAAAACTCATTTCTTTAGAACTGCTTTTGGCGTTTCGTTTGTCGTCCTTCTCCCGCACCTCCGATTAGCACGGTTGGCTACGCACGGTACGAAAGAAGTTGAACGTACATGACGTGCATACGGTGGGGAGCGATGTCTGAACCAGTTATGGTCTTCCCTTTGTCGACTTGGCCTTGAACGAGCAGCTGATGTGGTGTGTCCGTCGCATCGCCCCATCGGGTAACAATGCCATCACCACACCGCGGAGTTTGTAATTTGCGCGGTTTTCGCAGAGGCCGCGGAAAACCCCGGGACAATCGGAGAGGCAACGGCAGCAGAAAGGCGACGAGGAGCCGACGCCAAATTCCTTCCCCCCCCCACCCCCAAGCTCTGCGGTCCTCTATGTATCACATTATTACCGGCCAATAAATGACACCATTACTATCACGCATGCACAGGAACATATTCAGCTTTGAACCGAGCGACTCGAGTTTGAATTCCGGGGCACGGCTCACATCGGTGGGGAGCATGGTCACCAGCGTCACCGACCCGCACCGACGAGGGTGGTGAAGTATGGTTAAACACCTCTTGACCGTCGTGGTGTCTTAAGAGCCCTCGTACGGCAGTGTATTGACAAAGGGCTGTAAACTATTACAATATCGTAGACGTTAATACCGTACACTACTCAGCATAGTTGGAGTCGATTTATTACACAATGCGGTGGGAACGCAGACGTACGGTAACCGCACACATACGTCGAGAAACACGTCCCGTGAATATACACTGGCAACAAATACTGCTTTTTAAAAAATATAACTCTCGTTTCGTTACAAAACACGTGCGCAACACCACGCTAGGTTAGGCTACGGGAGGAGTTTACGACGACGGGAGCGAGCAGAGCACGGTTCCGTCTGAGCTTCGAGGCAAAAAATGCGATCCAAACGAATGATCTCTTCTTACGGGGCGAGCGGTGGTGTTTTTGCTGCCGTTTCAAACGGCGCGCCGAACACGTTCCCATCGGCACGTCTCGTGCGAGAACGCCGCTCCGAGACGTCTGCAAGTTGCAGGGTGGGGGCGGGGGCCGGGCAGTGGGGGTCCCGACGTTCACCGCTGAATCTCAGAACGCGCAAGCGACTCAGCGTTAATTTTATTTGGGGAGGCGTAGCGGCGCCGCTGTTTTTAAAGACGTTGTTACTCGCCGCAGAGAACCGTGGCAACACGACCGCGGCGCTCAATGACAGCTGGCGCCAAACTGTGCCACACGCAGCCCTGCCGCGTGGCCTTTCACTTCCGATTCCGTTCCGATGACGCACGCGAAAAACTGCCGACGTACACGTTTGTCATCAGAATTGGAAGGAGTTAATTCTAGATTTGAAGTTTTCGTGACTGAAAACGATCCATACTCTTTGGTTCTTTCGGTAAAGTCACGTAGGTAAAAATAAAATAAAGTTAATCAAATCACGACGTTTCGGGAAGTAACACAAGCCTCCGTCATCGGGTGGGATAGTCACAGCAAGAAGTAATTTCGTCCACTACAGCAAATTACTTCTTACTGTGACTATCCCACCCGATGACGGAAGCTTGTGTTGCTCCGAAACGTCGTGATTTGATTAACTTTATTTTTTTACCTACGTGACTTTACCGAAAGAACCAAAGAGTATGGAAGGAGTTCATCGCAGCGGGGAGTGGTGGTGCAGCGATTGGCGCTCGGTTTGATTCCCGTCTACCGCTAACATCGAGTGACATCGGAACCGGTCCTGGGAACACCACCAACCCCCACCCCCCCCCCCAACTCCTCCACCTTCACCAACCCGCACTGACCAGCGTGGTGAAGTATAGTCATACTCCATCTTGCTTAATTATTCAGGAGAGCCACGCTGAGTCGCAGGACTCTTTATCAGGAGGGTGCTTCCGCTGCTGCTACATTGGATTTGTATTCGTAAAGATGCTTTCAGCAAATCTGTGATGAGTTGCGTTTATTGTTTAGTCACGTGGGGAGGAAACCGGAGCGCCCGGAGAAACTACACGCGTCGCGCGAGCTTGGGGGACAACAACGCTCAAGACTCGTACAGATGGAAACAGATGGCGATTAGTCCACACTTGCTGTACCACCTTATCCTGGCGAGCCAGGAGTACGGCACCTCCTCGACGCCCAACCGTGGACCGCCAGAGGTGCTGTAACCACTGCGGGGCACGGCTCTCCGGTTTGTTTGCGGGTCGTGCCGCGTGTCGTTGAGCGCGACGTCCGACGTTTCGCGTCCACGCGTTGGGGAGCTTCGAATCGATCGGTGATCGAGCGCGTGGGGCACACACGTGAAGCGAAACGCCGCGGGGGCATCGCGCCGAACGGCAACGCGCGGCGGCGGCAGCGGCGGAGAGTTGATGCCGGTGGAGTTTCGTGGTCGAGATTCCTGCTTGGAAGAGAAACTTCACGTTGTGGCCACCCCTTCCAGCCCCCCCCCCCCCAACCTCCCCTCCCCGTTCGACCCCGCCCCCCCCCCCCTCCCACGGCCCAACCTTGCCTCGCCTTCCGTCGGGAAGGGGAGGGCATCATTCTCGGACGCACACGTAGGGGAGCGACGGGCCCCCTCTGCACCCCCGCCTGGCCCACTTCCCCCTCTGCTGGGCCAGGACGCAGCCGCCGTGGGCCCCCCCGCGGGGCCTCCGACGCCGCCCGCCGCCCCCCCCCCCGTGTGGGGCCGTGTCGCGGTCGGAGCGGCCGCCCCCTCGCCAGTTCGTGAAGGTGACCGGGTCGCCGTTGGTCCACTGCCAGCTGCCCTCCTCCTGCCGGTCGCTCAGGCCTGTGCACCGCACGGAAGAGGCTCCCGGTTTAGAGATGTACCCTTTAAAAATACATATATAAATTTTTAAAATAAATATATATAAGTTGTATATCCAGCTGTATAACAGCAACGTTAAATCGGTGCTGTTGCGTGGCTTAGAGAGTTGGCACGGAGAGGATGGAGCCCTCCCATAACAGAGCCCTCCCATAACAGATGCCTCCTCAGGAGAGTCTGCTGCAGCATTCATCCGGCCAAACAAAACCCACAACACCGAACTGTACGAGAAGACCGCTTGTCCTTGTGCCACACACAACAAGACACCAAGAGACTGCCACTTGGCTGGCTCAGACACGTTCTCAGAATGGACCAGGACCGTATTCCAAAAAGTGCCCTAAGATGAACACCACGGGGCAAAAGTAAACCTGAAGGAACCGAGACCACCTTAGAGTGTTTCGAAACATGCATTTAAGAGTATTTGGCTGCTGTAAATTTCGATGTGATAAGCCGCTTCGTAGAGCTATCATTTGTGGCCGGATCGCTTCTAGAGCTACGTAGCTCAGTGGGCCTTACCTAGTAAAATAAAAACTAGTTTGGTTTTATAGTGTTAGCTATGGAAGGAAACGGAAACCCATGCAGAACAAGAGTAGGAGTCTACACACTTCACACGGGGATGCACCCGAGTTTGGAATCAAACCCGGGCCCTTCTTGCCGTGAAACACCGCGGCGTTTTTAACACCGCGCCGCCGCCCTGCCCGGCGGGCCTCGCTATCTCCGTGGCAGCTCACGGCCAACTGGAACGCCATAGCCCACTGCCGCACATTCGCAGCGGCGCTCAATATCACGCGGACCTCTAAGGGGGCGCTTCAAGGCCCCGCGCACCTCCTCCCTCGCCTGGCTTTTGAGCGACGCCGAGATTGCCCCCACCCCCGCGCCTCCGTCACGGTCATTTATGTCCGTGAAATACTGCGTGCATAGCAGATTGCGTTATTATTATTATTGCTGCAATTATTATTATTGCGTTTGCTTTGTTAAATTACATTTTATTTTCCTTCCTTTATATTTTTTGTTCGTAAAAGAGTATTCGTGAAGCTTTGCATTTTTTGTTTAACGTTTTCGACCGGTTCCCTATTCCCGTAATCATCGCAGAGCACTGTACTGATGCTGGCCGTTTGCATCGCGACCGACGTAACCACGATCACGACCAAGCCCCTTGGCGTATAACACGCGGTACAACATACGGAACAGTCGCAGGACACACGTGAAAATATAGAGCCTAACAGCTTATTGGGCGCCTTCCTGCTGAAATAAATGAATTATTAAATCTAAATCTATTTAGTATTATTATTCTGCATTGGACAAGCTCAGGGGTCGGCAACCTTTCAAAGAAGAAGAGATTTTTTTTTGTCTTTGCCCAAAATAGTTTCGATCGCCACATCACTCACGCAGAGCTACACAGAAGCAGGTATACAGCAGAGAATGCAGTTTGACTGTTGTCCATTGTGTTATCACCAGGACATTCCATAGTGACACATTCCCTGCCAAATTTAATCAAAAATCTTTACGTTAAATTATGCTTAAAGATTCAAGTTTTTTTTTTCTATTTTTAAACGGCTGCCCGCAACAGGGGTGGCCAAAGAGCCACAAGGGGGACGCCAAAGAGCCGCATGCCGCTCCTGAGCCGCAGGTTGCCGAGCCGTGGGCGAGCAGTGCACTCTGGAATAAAAACAGAAAGCCAGCGTGCGGTGTCGTACCGATCCAGAACGGCTGGCGGCTGCCAAAGTCCCAGAGCCAGGACATCTCCTCCCGGGACCGCACGCTCACGAGGGTGCCGTCGTGACTGTGGGAAACAACGAACAGCAAAACGGTCGGCTGGCAAAACTTAAAAAAAAATAAGCCCTCGCCTCGCGGACGAACAACCAGTCACGCCGCACCTCCCGATCGCGCGACACGCGTCGGGGGAATCTCTCTCTCTCTCTCTCTCGCTCGCTCTTCGACACGCGAGCGTTCTTGCGTCGCGCTCGTTATATCTACGTTAACGGAGGGGACCGTCCGCATGCGCGCGTACGCACGTCTCTTGCGTGACGTCTGGCCGGTGTGGAAGAGTAGTTGAACTTTCTTTCGCGCGCGTACGTAGCCAACCGTGCAAATCAGAGGTGCGGGAAATAACACGTCCCAGTCATTAAAATGAAACAAAATTCCCCGCAATCATAGGCGAAATAATTGGTGGTTGCCAACCGGTGGTTCGCAAAGCCAAATGTCGGAAGTGGAAGCTCTCTTCTGTCAGCAGTGGCACCTGAGCGAGCAGATGCAGGGCTGCACCTGTACCTTCTTAACCAACACAATGTTGTTATCTTTGTCTGCAGAACTCTTCCCAGATTGCCCCACTAAAGGTGAACAATTCGCACGGTTGGCTATGTACGCTGCAAAAGAAGTTCAACATACATTGAGGGAAAAAAATATTTGATCCCCTGCTGATTTTGTACGTTTGCCCACTGACAAAGAAATTATCAGTCCATAATTTAAATGGTAGGTTTATTTGAACAGTGAGAGACAGAATAACAACAACAAAATTCAGAAAAACGCACGTCAAAAATGTTATAAATTGATTTGCATTTTAATGAGGGAAATAAGTATTTGACCCCTCTGAAAAACATGACTTAGTACTTGGTGGCAAAACCCTTGTTGGCAATCACAGAGGTCAGACGTTTCTTGTAGTTGGCCACCAGGTTTGCACACATCTCAGGAGGGATTTTGTCCCACTCCTCTTTGCAGATCTTCTCCAAGTCATTAACGTTTCGAGGCTGACGTTTGGCAACTCGAACCTTCAGCTCCCTCTACAGGTTTTCTATGGGATTTAGGTCTGGAGACTGGCTAGACCACTCCAAGACCTTAATGTGCTTCTTCTTGAGCCACTCCTTTGTTGCCTTGGCCGTGTGTTTTGGGTCATTGTCATGCTAGAATACCCATCCACGACCCATTTTCAATGCCCTGGCTGAGGGAAGGAGGTTCTCACCCAAGATTTGACGGTACATGGCCCCGTCCATCGTCCCTTTGATGCAGTGAAGTTGTCCTGTCCCCTTAGCAGAAAAACACCCCCAAAGCATAATGTTTCCACCTCCATGTTTGACGGTGGGGATGGTGTTCTTGGGGTCATAGGCAGCATTCCTCCCCCCCCCAAACACGGCGAGTTGAGTTCATGCCAAAGAGCTCCATGTTGGTCTCATCTGATCACAACACTTTCACCCAGTTGTCCTCTGAATAATTCAGATGTTCATTGGCAAACTTCAGACAGGCATGTATATGTGCTTTCTTGAGCAGGGGGACCTTGCAGGCGCTGCAAGATTTCAGTCCTTCACGGCGTAGTGTGTTACCAATTGTTTTCTTGGTGACTATGGTCCCAGCTGCTTTGACATCATTGACAAGATGCTCCCGTGTAGTTATGGGCTGATTCCTCATCGTTCTTATGATCATTGCAACTCCACGAGTTGAGATCTTGCATGGAGCCCCAGGCCGAGGGAGATTGACAGTTCTTTTGTGTATCTTCCATTTGCGAATAATCGCACCAACTGTCACCTTCTCACCAAGCTGCTTGGCAATGGTCTTGTAGCCCATTCCAGCCTTGTGTAGGTCTACAATCTTGTCCTGACATCCTTGGAGAACTATTTGGTCTTGGCCATGGTGGAGAGTTTGGAATCTGATTGACTGATTGCTTCTGTGGACAGGTGTCTTTTATACAGGTAACAAGCTGAGATTAGGAGCACTCCCTTTAAGAGTGTGCTCCTAATCTCAGCTCATTACCTGTATAAAAGACACCTGGGAGCCAGAAATCTTTCTGATTGAGAGGGGGTCAAATACTTATTTTCCTCATTAAAATGCAAATCAATTTATAACATTTTTGACATGCGTTTTTCTGGATTTTTTTGTTGTTATTCTGTCTCTCACTGTTCAAATAAACCTTCCAGTAAAATTATAGACTGATCATTTCTTTGTCAGTGGGCAAACGTACAAAATCATCAGTGGATCAAATACTTTTTTCCCTCACTGTACATACGTACATACAACGAATGCGGAGTCATCTGAAATATCGTGAAATGCTGCACGTAGTTTACGTGATCGAGTTCAAGATTGTGATTGAAATTTACTTTCGAGAGTTCGACTCCCAGCCACGGCCAACATCAGTTGGCGCGAGATGTGCGAGCCGGCACTTGTGTTCGCAACGATTACAATTACAATCCACTGAACTCCACCCCATGCCACGTCGGTCGTGGGGATTGTCGGATCACACGCGCGTAGGAATTGGCAACCATCCTGCGCTATGAACCCGTCCACCTGAATTAAGATCCACGGCTGACATCGGTGGGTGAGTGAAATCTGAACGTGTCCGGGTTTCCCCCACTTCGCCAAACCCGCGCCGACCAGCGTGGTGAAGTGCGGTCAAACAACCCCGCTTGTCAACGCACGGGATAGGGAGGGGCCGGCCTTCATCTAACAGTGGATTGCCACGTGGCAATATATTATTTTTGTTATTATTTCCTCAGCGCACTGAAATTGACCACGTGAACTCTCCGGTTCTTTCGGTAAAGTCACGTAGGCATAAAATAAAATAAAATCACGACGTTTCGATTGCAACACAAGCAATCATCATCGGGTGGAAAACCACAGCAATAATATTTTTTTTCCACTTCAGCAAAAAAAAAAATTCTTGCTGTGGTTTTCCCACCTGATGATGATTGCTTGTGTTGCAATCGAAACGTCGTGATTTATTTTTATTTTCTACCTACGTGACTTTACCGAAAGAACCAGAGAGTATGGATTCCTGCAGTCACGAAAGCTTCAAATCAAGATTGACCACGTGTTACTTAATGCAGTGTTTAGCTGCCACCTAGTGGTGGAGTTTGACATCGCGGAGTTCAGTGCTGACAAGGCAATGCTGCCGTGTGAGTGTGCTCAGCCTCAAATGAGTACATGCTGTGGTGTGTAATCATCGCGACTAGAGAGATAAAGGCGGCCGGGCGTGGTGTTGGCTACCCACCACCTAGTGTGCCATGTCGGCCTTCACAGGTGCTACTATGAAGGTGAACAGCACTTGCCCCAACAGTCTGTTAAGGCTCGACAGGGGATGTTTGTGTGTGTGTGCGTGTGTGTGTGTTTGTGTGTGAAAGCATGTGTGCGTGTTCGCATTAGTATGCGAGTGTGCGTGAGATCATGTGTGCGTGTGTGTATGTGCGTGCATGTGAGTGCGTGTGTTTGTCAGTCATTCGACCCATGGCACCTGGGTCTGCCCCGTGACCTGCTGCCAGCGGGCGTTCGACACTCCACGTGGCCTCAACGTGCACATAGCCTGGCACAAGCGTCGTGTTGACGTCACCGCCACTTAGTGGCGAATGGCGGTTGTTGTTGTCGTGTGCATGAGAGCGTGTGTCCGTGCTTATGTGTGAGTACGTGTGTGTGTGTGTGCGGGAGAGTGTGTGAGCGTGCGTGCGTGTGTGTAAGCGTGTGTGTGAGTGCGTGTGCATGTGTGTGCGTGCGTGTGTGAGTGTGTGCGTGTGTGCGTGAGTGTGTGCGTGCGTGCGTGTGTGTGCGTGCGTGCGTGTGTGTGAGTGTGTGCGTGTGTGTGTGCGTGTGTGCGTGAGTGTGTGCGCGAGTGTGTGTGTGTGTGTGAGTGTGTGCGTGAGTGCGTGCGTGTGTGTGCGTGTGAGTGTGTGCGTTCGTATGTGCGTGTGTGTGCGTGCGTGTGAGTGAGTGTGTGCGTGTGTGTGCGTGCGTGTGTGTGAGTGTGTGCGTGAGTGCGTGCGTGAGTGCGTGCGTGTGCCGCGTCTGCTCTCACGTCTGCCGGCAGCTCCGCTCAGCCTCAGCCCAGTTGGCCGACACGGAGGCCACGAGCAGGAAGCAGCGTCCCCCGTGGTGCGTCCACCCCGACGGACACCGCTGGCCCACTGCCTCCTTGCTCAGAGGGAGAGAGAGAGAGGAGTCATCACATGAAAGACAAAGATTCCCCGTGTAGCCTTTACAGACTGTTGGGGCAAGCGCTGGTAGCGAGTAGCACCTATGAAGGCCGGAGCGGCACACGAGGGGGTGGGTGGCCAGCACCACGCCTGGCTGCCTTTGTCTCCCCAGTGGCGATGTTTACACACCGCAACGGGTACTCATTTGAGGCTGAGTTGACCTAGGGGAGGCTCAGGACCGGTCATCATATTCGACATTGATGTTGGCCATGAGCGGGAATCGGACTCAGGTCACCGGGTTCATTGTGCAGTGTGCTAACCACTGCAATAACGCTCCCTCCATAGTCAAACTGTCCTTTTAACACACAAAGAGGTATCGTCACAAACACATCAACACACGTGCAGATTTAGGGATACCACAATTCGTAATTCATTTTTGAGTTAAGCCACGTAATGATCTGGACAGATTTGTGTTGTAAGACTCTCCACCACCCGTCATAGCCAAAAAAAATAACCATCACATTCACAAACTTTTAATGCACCAAAAATGATTGCTTTAGTTCGCTGGCGAGTTGAAGCAACAACGATGCAGATCTGGCAGCAATCGGATACAGGGACGCCTCTACTTACGAACATTCGACTTACGAACGTTCAGAGATATGAACAAGCCTGTCTGTATGTTCAGTTGCCTGTTTGGACCGAGAACCGTAAGTTTAACCACTGTGGTGGTGGCCGCTACATCTGCAAATCGTGAAGAACCAGTGGCATCTGCATCTGCAGGAGATTATACAACTTTTAAAGCCATTCCCCGTGTTTAGTGTACATGTCGAACAACATGTTTGGAATCGATAGGAGAAAAGTTGAACTTATGAACAAATCGATTTACAAACAGGCCTCTGGAACCTAACTCGTTCGTAAGTAGAGGAATCCCTGTACAACGCTTCGCTTGAAACTGCGCCAAACACCTTAAGGACAAAATTCAAGGAAGTCAGAGTAAAATCCACGTCTTCCTGGAATGTCATTCTTCCAGGGAATGTCATTCTGCATGAATTTTCTGAATTCCATCCCGAATTTTGTCCTCAAGACGCTTGGCGCAGTTTTCAAGCGGAAGGTCACGTACCGAAATCGCTACATTTCTTAGCGTGAATTGTCCATTAATTTACAGGGTGAGCTGAAGCAATGGTGTTATCGGTGCGATAAACACTCGTGCGCCCCTCCGACTAGCATGGTTGTCTATGTATAGTGTGAAACAAGTTCAACGTGCACACATACATACATTGTACACCACGTGGCAATGTCGGTTCGCTGCGTCGACGTTATCTGTTACGGCACAAATTTGGCCACATCATCACGTGGTCTAACACGAAAATCAATTGAGAATTAGATACAATGTCTCAAAAATATTAACTAGCAAAACAAAATCCTTAAGCAGTTCAGCATGGGCACGCACTATTATTCGGCAAGATTATACATTTATCGACACAATATAATTATTGACTAATGAGCTTATTGCGAGGACGTTGAAAAGACGCATGTGCGTGCGTGCATGCGTGCCTTACCGTGTGCTTGGGGTCCCAGGCGCGCCATGTAACCCCGTCGCACTTGAACAGCTGATTGCTGTTCGGGTCAAAGTGCATGAGATCTTTCAGTTCCGGGGTACATTGCTTGGGAAAGGTGGATTCTGGGAACACCTAGAGAGCAGAAAGGAAAACGCTTGCAGGTCAATCGCAGCTTATTTTATTTTTAAAGCACCACCCCCACTGGCCGTGCAGTTGTGCGGGATCCATGGTCAGGGCGGAGGGTGGAGGGGGCGTGATGTCAGCGTGATGTGGGTGACGTCATACTATATTCGGACGAAAAAAGTTTTGCTGGCTGGCTGGCGCGCAGGCGGGTGGGGGGTAAGTTCGCAGTGATGTCATCATGGAGATGTGACGTCAACACCGCGCACTTGCCCGCAAACCCCTCGCCAGCCAGCCAGCCAGCCAGCCAGCAAAACTTTTTTTTCTAATATAGTCTGATAAGCCGTAAGATGAGAAGAGGATAATGAGATTAGGTTAACCACAGTAATGAAAATGAGGTTACCTGTGCGTCTAAGGAAGAAAGTTATCATCAATGCATCCGGCCTACAATAACATGGATCTTAAACATGAACAGTGACAAAGAAAATGGATGAATAACTTAATAGTGCAGGAACGCGTGGAGAGACGCATGCTTGGAATGGCTCCAAGAGACAGAACAATGGACACAGGGGAAGAAGCAAATACAAGCCGGAGGCATCACGTCGACAATGACACAAAGTAAATGGGCTTGGGAAGGACACCACAAGACAGGATGAGAGTCCGCGGACAAGACTCGTGACAGAATGGCGGTCAAAGGAGAGAATGCGCCCAAGAGGATGACCGCCACGGATAAATGAAGCGATGAGATCAGTTTGTGTGCTGTGGTGAGATGGCTAGTGGGAGCATTGAACCATGAGGGATGGGTGATGGCATGGGAAGGCCTTGAGCAGTGGATTGACAGTAGCCAACGACAATGATGATGGAAATACAGTTGCGGTGAAAATGTCACAACTCAGTCGAGTACCGAGGCCTAACCTGTTCCTGGGAGTCTTGCGGGCCTGGGGCCGGTGCTGGTTTGTCTGCCTGAACAGGCGGCTCTTGTCCCGGGTCGGCAGCGGGCGAGAAAGGGAGGCTCTCGGGAGCCTGGCGGGCCCGCACCGACACGCTCGCCTGCGATAGCGCCGCGCCGCCAACCGCTTCCTTCTCCAGACGCAGCGGCACGAGGCCGTGGTACTGCCGGGGGAATTCACGGCACAAATCCCTCGCGGAACGAGCGACACAAGCCCCGACGAGCGACACAAGCCCCGGCGATCGTGGCATGGCGACCGCGCGCTTCGTGCGTCGCTCTTTCCCATGGCGGGGGGAGTTGGGCCACCTCTTGCGATACAGAAACCGCCAAAATAGCTTGCGAAGAACAGATGTCTCGCAATATCGGAAAGAGGGGAGAACGACGTGTAAATGCATTGTCTTGCGTGATGTATGAATGCTATTATTACTACACAGCTTACAAAAAAACAGGAATTTAAATTCCCCCAGAAGACTTTTCAATCTAGATGATTTAAAAGTGCATAGCTCCCAGCGGCTTCCTAATATCGGAAGAGAGAGCATTCCAGATGGCCACATCAAGCGCACCTGAAAGGGCGTGAAAGCATCATACGTTGCGTCATTTGCGAAAATTTGACAGCAAACCGCTGTGGAGTTTGAAACTCCACAGGCCTGTGCAGGGAACCGCGGCCAAGCGTTGAAGGCAACCAGAACTGCAGCCAATGATTGCCCAAGCTCTGTGGTCCTATATTGGGATGTTTGGCAAACTCCAACAATAAATTCCACTACAGGACTGCCTATACACTCAATCCGCACCCGTAAAGATGAAAAATTTAACCCCGTGGTAGGCCCCGTGTAGTCATAGGCCAGAATGGCTACCTTATCAAGAGGACAATCCTGGGAAAACAGCACAGGTGCCAACCCTCGTCAACCCTACAGATTTAAGCATTAGGCTGCCATTTAGTCAACCATTTTATGTACATGTAAATATAAAGGGATATTGCTATGACAATCTCTACGTGGTAAATGGGTTCAAAATATCGGCAGCCCACAGTTTCAACTGACCGAAAACTAAACAGTAATTTTATTTTACCAGGTAAGGCCTACTGAGCTACGTAGCTCTTCTTCAGAAGCGACCTGGCCATCACAAATGGTAGCTCAACCAAGTGGCTTATCGCGTGGAAACGTACCGCAGCCAGACAGTTGAAACGCACGTTGATTCTAAATGTGGAGGGGAAAATTGGAGGACTTGGAGATAACAACAGAAGCACAATAACAAATACTCAAAAGGTGCCGTTAGATGCCTGAATGACCATGAGCTTATGGAATTCCCAGATTAACAGCCTGCCGTGCATGACGGTCAGTCAAAGTCTACTGCGGTCGGCCACATTCCCGGTGATTCAATTACAGAGGATGGAAGTGAAGCACTGAGGGGGAGGAGGGTTCCTACCGTCCACATGACGTCCGTCTTGTTCCTGATGACGGAGGATGGAGGCACCTGTCGAGACAGCGCAAATTGACTTAATAATAAAACGTCGTGAGAATTTTATCGTGTTATTTTATTATTTTATTCTCATTCTACGTGAGGCACGAGGAGGAACCACAGACGAGGGGGAAGAGGGCAGCAGCTACCACGTGGCGAGCCGGCGCCAGCAATTTCCCCAGCTCTGCAGTCCTCTATATATATGTTACGGTGTTTTCGTGCACGTCATTAGTTTTTCTTACTCTAGTTCTGGTTTCCTTCAACACTTGCCCACGGTTTCCTGCACAGCGGTTTTCAGTGAAATTTGCCCAAACGACGCGACGTCCGATGCTTTCACGCGCTTCCCGGTGCGCCTGCTGTGGCCGTCTGGAACGCTCTCCCTTCCGATATTAGGAAGCCACTGGGAGCTATGCACTTTTAAATCATCATCATCTAGATTGACAAACTCACTTCTATAGAGCTGCTTTTTGTGTTTAGTTTGTTGTCCTTCCCTCCGCACGGTTGGCTACGTACGGTTATGAAAGAAATCCAACAAATATACAACATACTCCTGTGGGTGATGTCACCACGGTGCTTGTGCCAGGCTGAGTGTCATTTTAAGGCCTACGTGATGTGTCAAACGCTCGCTGGCAAGTCAGGGGACAGACTCAAGTGCCATGGGCTGACTGACTGAGATGACCGATGCCACCACCTGTGCCTCCTTCTGTGCCAACTTACATATGAACATACATAAGTGCAATTAAATGAAAAGAAACGCACATATATATACACGTCATGGCACGTCTTCATTCCCATCGCCCTCACCACTTTGCCCGAGCCGATGGCGCGCAGCCGTGCCGTCTGCCGGGGCGCGGCAGCAACCGGTCTCCCGGCCGCCACGTCGAGTTGGCCCGGCACGTGCCACGATCCTCCCCCCGCTCCTCCGCCTCCTCCTCCACCGCCGGCGCCACGACCGGGCAGCTTCTCGTGGAAGTCCGGCACGTCACCGCGCACCGACACGTAGCCGGGCTGCAGCGACTCCATGCGGATCGTGAGCGGAGCGGCAGCGTCGTCGCCGTCGCCGTCGTCGCCGCCGCCGTCGTCGTCGTCAAAATCCCCACCGTGCGATGCGTCGCAGCGGCCTGCCACAAGGCGCGGTCCGTCGGCCGGCGACGGGTGGGGTCGGGCCCGCGGTTATTCGGGGCAGAACTTAGAACGCGGATAATCTTGCCCGACGCATGTGACATGCGCACAGCCTGAACGCCCTCGGCATCAGGAGGTGCGCGTTCACAAACATCGCCCACCCGCGATTACTCGGGGGTAATGGCGGCAGGGGGACGGTGGGGTGGCAGGAGGAGGTAGGCCCAGATTAAAAATTAAATGACACGGACTATGGAAAACACAGGTGAAATGCGGCTATGAAGACGGATTCATTGTTTTACCCCACGCAGAACTGGGGTGGGAGTGGGAGGGGGTGAAGACGCGGCGCGTCATCCGATGTCATTGCCTAAAGTAATTGGGTGACGCCCGCCGACGAGCTCGAGGTCACGCGGGGAACTGCGAGAGTCGCCGACCCTCGACGAGTCGGGAGCAGCCAACAGTTGGAGCCGGCGCCAGAGCTCTCGGCTCTCCAAACAAGCACGGCCTCCCCTTCGCCCCCCCTCCCTCCCCCGCACCCCCCCCCCTCCCCCGCCCCTCCCCCACCCGCCCGCCCGCCCTTACGAACCGGCCGTCCCGTCGGCTATCGCGACGAGCGTGCTGTCCTGCGCGCCCAGCACGGCGTTGATGGGCGCGTGCAGATAAACGCGCAGCCGCTCTGTGGCCTCCTGCAGCCCGTCGTCCTTTATCGCCACGTTCCACGTTCTGGAAGTGACGCCTGCCCAACGCACAGACGGCAAAGGCGATGGGGGGTGGTGGAGGGGACAGCGACGGTTGAGGGTCACGCACGTAGGGGTGAGGGTCCGGTCTGCTCCATTTGAAGATGTAGCTCACGCTCGGCTACCCGTGGGCAGACTGGGGGCGAGATGTTATCTGCCTCGCCTGGTATACAGGAGGTCGTGGGCTCGGTCCCGACCCTGACGCCTGCTGTATATTTGGAGTTTGCGCGTCTCTCTCTCTCCCCGTGGTCGCGTGGATTTTTCTCTGGATCCTCCGATTTTTCAACATGTATTTAAGAGTATTTGGCTGCTATGAATTTGCACGCGACAAAGCCACTTCGTGCAGCTATCATTCATGGTCAGGTCGCTTCTGAAAAAGAGCTATATGGCTAAGTGGGCCTTACCTGGTAAAATAAAAAAAATGTTTAGTTTATACATCGCCTGGCTTGCCGGTTAACCATGTGCACTGGTTTAACGGGTTGGCAGCTCCTCACTCGTCAAGGGTCAGTGGCATGGGTGTCCACACGAGCGCCAAACCACGTTGGCGAGGATCGATGGAAACTGGACGGCGCATTTGACGTGTCCACCAACCCCCCGATTCCACGCAGGTCAATTAAACAGTCACCTTCGCTCACTCGTTCCGCTCCTCCCTTAAAAGTAAATTTGTTTTCACTAGCTCACCCCACGGCCACTTAATCTCCCCCTCATAACCACCACCACCACCACCGTTCCTGGCTCCCTCTTCGTAATCTCTCTCCATGCCCACCACTCATTCATAATCTCCCTCCATAGCTACCACTCATTCACAATCTCCCTCCATAGCTACCACTCATTCACAATCTCTCTCCATAGCTACCACTCATTCACAATCTCTCTCCATAGCTAGCACTCATTCACAATCTCCCTCCATGGCTACCACTCATTCATAATCTCTCTCCATAGCTACCACTCATTCATAATCTCTCTCCATAGCTACCACTCATTCACAATCTGTCTCCATAGCTACCACTCATTCACAATCTCTCTCCATAGCTACCACTCATTCACAATCTCTCTCCATAGCTACCACTCATTCACAATCTCTCTCCATAGCTACCACTCATTCACAATCTCTCTCCATAGCTACCACTCATTCATAATCTCTCTCCATAGCTACCACTCATTCACAATCTCTCTCCATAGCTACCACTCATTCACAATCTCTCTCCATAGCTACCACTCATTCATAATCTCCCTCCATAGCTACCACTTATTCATAATCTCCCTCCATAGCTACCACTGATTCACAATCTCTCTCCATAGCTACCACTCATTCACAATCTCCCTCCATAGCTACCACTCATTCACAATCTCCCTCCATAGCTACCACTCATTCACAATCTCTCTCCATAGCTACCACTCATTCACAATCTCTCTCCATAGCTAGCACTCATTCACAATCTCCCTCCATGGCTACCACTCATTCATAATCTCTCTCCATAGCTACCACTCATTCATAATCTCTCTCCATAGCTACCACTCATTCACAATCTCTCTCCATGGCTACCACTCATTCACAATCTCTCTCAATGGCTACCACTCATTCACAATCTCTCTCCATAGCTACCACTCATTCACAATCTCTCTCCATAGCTACCACTCATTCACAATCTCTCTCCATAGCTACCACTCATTCACAATCTCTCTCCATAGCTACCACTCATTCACAATCTCTCTCCATAGCTACCACTCATTCACAATCTCTCTCCATAGCTACCACTCATTCACAATCTCTCTCCATAGCTACCACTCATTCACAATCTCCCTCCATAGCTACCACTCATTCACAATCTCCCTCCATAGCTACCACTCATTCACAATCTCTCTCCATAGCTACCACTCATTCACAATCTCTCTCCATAGCTACCACTCATTCACAATCTCTCTCCATAGCTAGCACTCATTCACAATCTCCCTCCATGGCTACCACTCATTCATAATCTCTCTCCATAGCTACCACTCATTCATAATCTCTCTCCATAGCTACCACTCATTCACAATCTCTCTCCATAGCTACCACTCATTCACAATCTCTCTCAATGGCTACCACTCATTCACAATCTCCCTCCATGGCTACCACTCATTCACAATCTCTCTCCATAGCTACCACTCATTCACAATCTCTCTCCATAGCTACCACTCATTCATAATCTCTCTCCATAGCTAGCACTCATTCACAATCTCCCTCCATAGCTACCACTCATTCATAATCTCTCTCCATAGCTACCACTCATTCATAATCTCTCTCCATAGCTACCACTCATTCACAATCTCTCTCCATAGCTACCACTCGTTCACAATCTCCCTCCATGGCTACCACTCATTCCCCATCCATCCAATCCATTCATCATCCTTTCCTGTCGTCAATTTCGCACCGCAGATTCGCCCCCATTACCCCCTCTCATCTGTTCTATTCACCTAATCTCCACTGTCACATCCACACGCTGGACCGGTCTTAATTCTCTGTGAAGTGCCTTGACCAAGGCGCTATTTAAATGACATCAAGATCAACTAAATGTGAATAATAAATACACTTGCAGCATACCTGAACTAGCCGCGTGTTATTTCACGCAGGTTCATATCTCGCACACGCTCCTCCTCCTACTGCCATATCCCAGGGTAATCGAGAATTCACCCTTCGCGATTTGTATAATAATTTTAGAAGAAAATTGTATTATTTATTTCATAAGAGTTCCGTTATTATTTCTTTATATTTGTTTCTCATATATGATTTATTATTGACTATTATTCACCACATCACAAGCTAATTCATTTATTATTATTTTCCCGGCAATTATCAAATTTGCCGCCGCTCCCGGCGTCAGGTCGCGAGACGAACGAGCTTCCCAATCGGGGGACGCTCGCAGCGAGCATTGCACCACCCCGTGGTGAGCGCGCAGCTTGCGGGAAGGCGGTGCCACCACCGGGTCACCTCCGAAGCCACCACGCCAGGGCCGCTCCGTATCCACGCTCGCGCGTTTTTCCACAAGATCCGCCCGCAAACATTGTCCGTCGGATGTCAATAAAAATATTTTAAAAAAAATGTAATTCCCGCAGCTAGAATTGCAAACTTAAGTGAATAATTCAAATGACCCGATGAAGCTGGTCGTTGTAATCTCCAGCGAAACGTCACAGCACTCAAATTGTACATTTCGTGAGTTCACTCTCCAACACACCGGTGGGCTCAACGAATAACGAACTGGCAAGTTCTCTTTACGTGACAAACCTTACTAATTGCCTGTGTCGGGTGGTGGTGGGTTTAGCGACACACTTATATTTACGCGATCTAACCCCAAAAACAACAACTTTATTACGAACAATATTGGTCGTGAAAGCTTTGCTGCGTGTGAAACTTTAAGTGAATAACCAAATACAGTACGACAGTTGATTTGTGCCGGCGTTGACAACCGAGCTGGCACCAACAAACCGCTCCAGCCTACACCCCGGCTTACTTGCAGGGGACCAATGCTTGGGTTCGAACCCAGGCTCTCAGCGGCGGTGGCTCAACCACCCTGACCTCGGATCCACCCGGCCACTCCAAACCAATGTTTTTTTTATACGTAAAATATATTTTTCCCGCCCGCCCGCCCGCCCATTTTTTTCCCAGGGAGCGTGTTCCTGGAACACAGGAAACCCGCACAGCATCACCGTGTCTCCAGACGTCCCAAGGTTTTATCCCGGTTGGCACTGTTGGGGCGTCGTGTTATCACCGTTAAGCACGCGTGTACGCGTGCCCGCCTGTGTGTGTGTGTGTGATGCGGGGAGTGGCAATGTAAGTGGTTAGCGCTGCTGTGCTATGCATCCGGTGACCCGAATTTGATACTTGTTGCTCACGACCAATAATAGTGGCGGATATCTGAACAGGTTCTGGGCTTCCCCTGGGTCGGCTCAGCCTTAAATTAGCAGCTGGTGAGGTGATTAAACATCAGTACTGGGTAGACAAAGGTGGTAAGGCGTGGTGCTGGCCACCCACCCCCTCGTGTGCCGTGCCGGCCTTCATAGGTGCTCGTGAACAGAACAGGCTACAGTATATGGGCGATCATTGTGTTGTCTGTATAATGGGGGATTGCACATTGCTACGAACCTGGCACCCTGAGTTTGATTCCCAGCTTTGGCTAATATCAGTGTTGATTCTCTGAACCAAATCCTGAGGCTCCCCTAGGTCAACTCAGCTTTAAATGAGTAACTGGTGTGGTGTATAATGTATACCTGTTGCCAAGTATACATTGTACGCAATGATACTCCTGACACATGCGCACACAGTCACCGGCCTGCAACAGCAGCCACCGTTCATCACCAAGTGGTGTTCCCACGTGCTTGTGCCAGGCTAGGTGCACCTTGAGGCCATCACACAAGGTGTGGAAGGCTCGCTGGCAGGAGGTCGTGGGGCAGACCCAGGTGCCGTGGGTCGATAATGATAAAAATAATAAAGAGCCTTTCAAATTAGCATTCTCAAAGCACCGTACCGAGATGAGGAGGGTCGGCCCTGCGGGCGTTGTGCTCACCGTAAGCTACGCGGCACCTGCCGCACCAGCGGACGTCAAAATTCCGGCGGTGCCACTTGACAAACGGCGGTGCCACTGTGCGTTCGCGCGCGCGTGTGCCGACGTCACGGCGCCAAGTTTGAGTCTCGGCGTGGTGCATGACACGTGGGGGACACCGACCCCGAGCTGCAGAACTCCCGCGGGCTACGCCTGCGAACGACGAGACGCCTTCCTACGTGATGGCCTCGCGCTACGAGAACGGCGCCAACGTTCCCTCACCCCCGCCCCCCCCCCAGCTCCCTCTGCTCCCTTACTGAAGTTCTTCTTCCCCCCCCCGCCCGCCCATCCCCACATAGAAGTACAAACACCCCACTCGCGGTCGCCGCTCAGTGGGGCAGCAGCAGCAGCGATCCCAAACTCCCCCTTCCTCCTCTCCAAACTCAGGAGCACACCGTTCGGGACTTCTGCCCGCGGAGTTTCTGTTGCCCCTCGCCTACGCCGCGGTTCGTGCTCTGTACCGGGCTCCCTCTGAAACGTAATGACCGAAACATTGAAAACAAAAAAGAAATGGGGCGAATGCCGAACGTGCTCGCGATTTGATCGGATGTCACCGATCCGCGCACCGGAGCCAGCCGGTTACGCACCAACCGACCGCTCGCTCGCTCTCACCTGGATCGAACTGCACGAGGGATGCCGAGCTGTGCGTGAAGTCTTTGCCGACAACAGCTGATAACCCTCGCACCTGCGGGAGAAGAGACGAAGGGTGGCGTGATCCCCCGTACAGCCTTCAACAGACTGTCGGGGCAAGTGCTGTCAGCGAGCGGCGCTTATGAAGGCCGGCAGCGCACACGAAGGGAAATGTGCGGTACAGCACCATGCCCGGCCACCTTTGTCTCCCCAATGCTGATGTTTGCACACAGCATTCGGTATTAATTTAAGGCTGAGTCGACCTACGCGAGGCACCAGTTCACATATTCGCCACTGTCGTTGGTCGTTGAGCGAGAATCGAGCTCGGGTCGCCGGGTTCGTAGCACGGCGCCGCTCGCCACTGCGCCACCGCTCCCCACCGGTAGAACACAACAACAACAACAACAGCGGTCGCCATGCGTCACCAAGTGGCGGTGGCGTCACCACAGCACTTGTGCCAGGGTAGGTGCACTTTGAGCGCGCCATCCCCACCCTGGCGGTACCACTGCGATCCGTACAGCGTCTGCCACCGCCTTGGATTGGTCAGAGGACCTTGACATTCAACGATGACATCATCCGTACAAACTCTTCCTTCCCTCCCTGCCTCCTCCCATGCCATAGCAAAAGAAGAATACTGCCTGAGTCGGGTTCAGATGTTTCCTGGCGGTGATGGATGGAAATTGAGCCAATTTGTGTGTCGTGTGTCTGATGGGGAGCGGTGGCGCAGCGGTCGGCCCACTGTGTGCTACGAACCCGGCGGCAGCCAACACCACCAGTGACGATTTTCTGAACCGGTTCTGGGCCTCCCCTAGGTCGGCACAGCCTTAAATAAGTTTCTGGCGTGGTGTTTAGACATCGCCACTGGGGAGACAAAGGTGGTCGGGCGCGGTGTTGACCAACCCACCCCCCTCATGTACCGTGTTGGCCTTCATAGGTGCTCGCTAACAGAACTTGCCTCAATGGTCTGTTGAGGCTATACGGGGGATCTTTGCCTTTATGTTTCTCGTCCACCACCCTTGTGACTTCCGAGTGAAAGGCGCGTTACACGTGTACATTATTATTGTTGTTGTTGTTATTGTTAAGACAAGGAAAGAATAAACAGAATGAGCCGGACAGCAGGGGATAGGAGAATGAGGAATGTGAGATTGTGGTCTCTGGGTTGTTGACTTCCTGGACATCTGTGAGCTTTATAGCTCATCGCATTCATGCAGTATTTCTACAAATGTAGATTTCTGATATTTTGATAATGTTCATAATGATGGTTTTTGGGTTAAATCGATTAAGTATAAATGTTGTGTCATAACCCTCCACCACCCGACACAGCCAGTAAAGTTTGTCACGTAGACAAAACGCGCCAACTCGTAACTACTTCAGCCCACCGGTGAGTTGGAGATAAAATCCACAACATTTACAACATTGTGGATGTACAATTTACAAAGTTGTGGATTAAAAATGTTGTGGATTTACTCTCCAACATACTGGTAGGCTGAAGTAGCAATTAGTTGGCGCGTTTTTGTTTTAAGTGACAGACCTTACTACTTGGCTGCCGAGTGGTGGAGGGTTACGACACATTCATACTTACATGATATAACCCAAAAACCTTTATTATTATGGATAATATTGGTCGTGAAAGCCTACGAGTTAAACATTCTGATATCATTGGACCCATTACTCTGCGGTGATCACTTTTTTCTTGTTGGTGCCTTTGGTGTTTATTCATTTATTATTTTCCAAGGGTTTTCACCTGCTTGGTAATTGCTACAAATATGAGTTGGCCCGTACATATAATTAATGTACAGCGTTGTGAGATGCAATTAAGCATGAAGGATGCTATATACAATTCAATCATCATTACTAGGACAGGGAGGGGGATGAGCAGGGGGAGAGTGGCACGCTTCAGGTGTTTTCAAAATCGTTGCGGGACGAGAAATCCGCGTGGAGCTCTCGCACAGCAGGGCGGTGCCCTGCGCGCTCGAAGGGAAAGGGCCCAACGGAAGCGGATATCACGGAGCCGCGTCTGAGGTCAATGCAAGTGAATGGCTGTGTCGTGCACCGAGGGTAGTAATTGCTCGTCGAAGCAACTCTCTGATCTGTGAGCCACCCTGTGGAAGCTTCCGGGAACTGCCCCCGAGTTAAGCGTCGGGAGCGCGACGCTCTCGGGAGATGACGCACAGCGGAAGAGACAAATGGTCGCTGCGCTTACAGACAGGCGGTCAGACAAGTGGACAAATTAATGGATGGGACGTACAGGAAAGTAAAAAAATGAATGGATGACTGTGTAGACAGGTCGACAAAGTAATAGGTGGACACACATACAGACAAGCAGGCAAGGGAATGAACAAGGGAACGGACTCGATGGACAGACGAATGGAAAGCTGGATGGATGGACAGATACGCAAATGGTTAGACAAACAGAAGATGAATCCACAGAGATAAATGGGGTAGAGAAAAGGTCGGGAGAAAACACACGGACGGACGGACACACGGACGGACACACGGACGGACACACAGACGGACACACGGACGGACACACAGACGGACACACAGACGGACGGACGGAAGCACGTGGCACTCGCCTTGATTCCGACGAACGCCGAGTCCTGGGCACAGCCGCTACGCAGCAACCTCACCGCGAGCGTGCCGACGTTCTCGCACACGCGCACCGACACCTCCGCCATCTGCACACGCGCCCACTCCAGCTGCAGGCTGCACCCCGGGGAGGTGGCGGGTGCAGAGGTGAAGTCGGGGGAGTGCGGGGGGGGGGCACAGGAGCGACACTCTCCATCTGTCTCTAACTCTCTATATGGTCCGTCCGGCCCTTTGTCCGACTGCATGCCTCTCTGCCTGTCCGTCCGCCCGTGCGGGTGCTGCGTGCGTGTCGCGTACGTACGTCTGCGTCTCCCCCGTGTTGCCGGCTCTGTCGGACACGCGGAACTCCAGGCTGTCCTCCGTCACGTCCAGCGAGGGGTTGACGATGTACATCACGCGCTTCTCTCTCAGCTCTCGCTGGCAGAAGCTCCCGCGGATGAAGTCACCTGCGCCGACCGACAGCATCGCGTCGCGCTCACAGCCACATCTTGGGAACGGACAAGTTCTCGTCACGGCCGGGGCGGTGGTGGCTAAGAACGCGGCTGCCAGTAATACAGCGCTGCGTCTATGCACGCTTAACTTTCTCCGTGCTCATCGGAGGCGACGCAGTAAGGCTCTCAACCTTGGTTGGGAAGGGTTAATAAACTTCCCCCCCCCCCTGCCCCACGGTTACCGCTGGCGGTGTTCTCCAGGTATCCGTAGAGGGGCGGCCGCATGATGGAGAACGTGATGTCCTCGTCGTTGCCGGCGGCGTCCTCGTTGTCGGTGGCGCGGAGGTGACGGATCGTGATGCGGATTCCGTAGCGGCCGCCCCGGAGCGACTCGACGGAGCGCGGAGGAGAGAGCAGCGTGACGCGCGGTGCCACGCGGTCCAGGGGCTCCACCTGGGCCCAGCGCGACCACCACCACCACCACCACCACCACCGACGATGACGACGACGACGACGACGGTGACGACAGCGTCAGCATTGACATCGGCAGCAGCATTGACGACAGCAGCGGTGACGACATCAGCGGTGGCGATGGCAGCAGTGACATCATCAGCAGCAGCAGTGACATCATCAGCAGCAACAGTGACATCAGCAGCAGCAGCAGTGACGACAGCTTCAGTGACCTCAGCAGCAGCAACGGCAGCAGCAGTGACGACAGCAGCAGCAGTGACGACAACAGCAGTGACAGCAGCAGCAGTGACATCAGCAGCAGCAGCAGTGACATCAGCAGCAGCAGTGACGACAGCAGCAGCAGCTGTGATGACAGCAGCAGTGACAGCAGCAGTAGTGACAACAGCAGTGACAGCAGCAGTAGTGACAACAGCAGTGACATCAACAGCAGCAGTGACATCAGCAGCAGTGACATCAGCAGCAGTGACATCAGCAGCAGCAGTGACATCAGCAGCAGCAGTGACGACAGCAGCAGTGATATCAGCAGCAGCAGCAGCAGTGATGACAGCAGCAGCAGTTACATCAGCAGCAGTGACATCAGCAGCAGCAGCTGTGATGACAGCAGCAGTGACAGCAGCAGTAGTGACAACATCAGCAGCTGTGATGACAGCAGCAGCAGTGACATCAGCTTCAGTGACATCAGCAGCAGCAACAGTGATGACATCAGCAGCAGTTACATCAGCAGCAGTGACATCAGCAGCAGCTGTGATGACATCAGCAGCAGTGATGACAGCAGCAGCAGTGACGACAGCAGCAGCAGTGATGACAGCAGCAGCAGTGACATCAGCAGCAGCAGCTGTGATGACATCAGCAGCTGTGATGACATCAGCAGCAGTGATGACAGCAGCAGCAGTGACGACAGCAGCAGCAGTGACGACAGCAGCAGCAATAATGACAGCAGCAGCAGTGACATCAGCAGCAGCAGCTGTGATGACAGCAGCAGCAGTGACATCAGCAGCAACAGGAAAAGCAAACAGCAACAGCAGCAACAGAGACAACAGCAGCAGCAGCAGAAGCAACAACAACAGCGGGAGGAGCAACAAATAAAACAAGAACAGTGAGCCGCTATTTTCTTTAGGTTGTCAAAACAACGCTGATACACGGCAACGCGTCAGCTGACATCTGCTGCAGATGTAGAAACCCAGAAAAGGTGGCTTTAGCTCGCGTCTAACCGCATCTCGAGATGCTGTACAAAAGCCGCACTCTGCTGCTGATGGTGCTTTCTAAGACGAATAGCCAACTGACTGATGGGTAATATTGGTCTGGAATGCCATTCGGCTGATGGAATATATTTGTAGAAATGTATTTATTTATTTATGTATACGTATGTATATTTACGTGTTGACAAGGAATGGAGTTTTACCCATAATGCTCCACGATGGGGAATAGAGAGATGTTGAATTACTCAGAAGGAATAAATAAAAGAGGACAACGCAACAACATTTCGTGTCAACATATTGTCGCATGGTGCTCCACAGAAACGGCGGCTATATTCATGTTCAAGGGAGAGGAACTGAATGCAAAGTTTATGCTGGAAAAATGACAGATGCACTAAGCCGGGGAACACTAAATTAGGTTCGTAAGAAATGTGAACGATGGGATGTTATTTCATGCCGAGCTGAATTGGCTTCCGACTGCCGAATTAACAGATTATGAGGTCGCACTCATTACACACAAAGTGCTGGCCATGAATGAACCACGATACCTTCGCCGAACTCGTGAAAAAGCATAAACCGCCGCGCAAGCTCCCGGTCATCCCAGCAGCAGCGGCTTTAGGCTGGCCATCGAACAAAAGACGGTCACTGCATCGCGCGGCGCTTTCAGATGCGCTTCTGTGGCCGTCTGGAACGCTCTTCCTTCCGATATTAGGAAGTCACCGGAGCTATGGACTTTTTAAAAATCTAGATTGAAAACGAATTTCTTTCGAACTGCTTTTTAGTTTGTTGTCCTTCCCCCGCACCTCCGATTAGCGCGGATGGCTACAGAAGGTGCGAATAAGTTCACCGAACGTACATGCGAAGTTCTTGAGCGAATATCATGAGCAGGGCTAAATGGAAGGAAGGCCGAGATTGCGTCTCCGAGTTGGGACACGGCTAATGGAGAGTGAGGCAGTCAGTCACAGGCAGGAGACGAAAGAGGAGGAGAAGAGGAAAGTCGTGAGACGGGAACTTCAACAGGGGCCGGGGAACATCCAGTGGAGATCGCGGGGGGGGGGGAGAGTTCCAGGTTACGAGGGCAGACGAGTGACCTCGATCCAAAGGTCAAAGCTCTTTCACCTGAATGCTGAAGACGATTGGCTGTGGCGTGAGCCGTCCCTCCAATAGGACGCCCCGGTCGGTGGGGTCGCGAACCAGGAAGGAGAAGTGGTCGAGGTGAGCGGGCCCTCCCGAGTGCCGGTACGCCACGTCCGATTGGTCGACGTCACGCTGGGTGAACGCCGGCGAGCCCGATTCGTCCACTGCCTGACGGGCGAGGGGAGGGAGAGGAGAGGGAGAGAGGAAGAGCAGGAGAGGAAAAGGAAGAAAACGTTGTATTATCGATCGCCACACAAACAATCGTCTTCAGGTGGGAGAGAAGACGGTTGCTTGTGTGGCGATCGAAACGTCGTGATCTATTATTATTATTATTTCTACCTCCGTGACTTTACCGAAAGAACCATAGAGTGTGGAATTCTGCAGTCACGAAAGCTTCAAATCAAGATTGTGTATGTTCGTTGAACTTCTGTCGCACCGCACGTAGCCATCCGTGCTAATCGGAGGTGTGGGGGACCTGGGGTTAGGAGAGTGGGATCGGGCGGCCGGTGCTGGAGGTGCCTGCACAGGGAGCTGAGGTTGGAGCCGGGAATGGGCAATGGAGAAGAGGTAAAGCTTTAAAGAGGGCACCACCCACCCAACCCACCCACCCAACTACCCAACCAACCACCAAACCACCCACCCAACCAACCACCCACCCAACCAACCACCCACCCAACCAACCACCCACCCACCCACCCAACCACCCACCCAACCACCCAACCCACCCAACCCACCCACTCAACCGACCCACCTACTGAACCCACCCAACCCAACCACCCACCGACCCAACCCAACCACCCACCGACCCAACCCAACCACCCACCCAAAACAACCCCACCTCAAGCCCACGCACCCACCCACCCTAAACCAACCCAACCACCCACCCACCAGCAGCTGTCCTCGAAGGTACAGGGCGCCGTGGCTGGGGGGCTCCGTGACGACGTAGCGGAGGTCCTGGGGGGCCGTGTCGGGGTCGGCGAGACGGAGGGCGGCGCTCGTGATGGCCGCCAGCGTCCCCTCGGCGAGGCGCAGGCCACCGTTACGCTCCAGCGTGGGCGGCAGGACGTCCCGGGACTCCACGTCGATGTCCAGCGAGCCGAGCCTTGTGCGCAGGCCGTTGCTCACCAGGAAACTGTGGATGGAGGGAGGAGGGGGAGGGAGGGAGGGAGGAGAGGGAGTAGAGGAAGGGAGAGAGGAGAGGGAGGGCAGGAGGGGAGGAAGGAGAGGGAGGGAAGAGAGGGAGGGAGGGAGAGAGAAGAGGGAGGGAGGGAGGAGAGGGAGGGAGGAGAGGGAGGGAGTAGAGGGAGGGAGAGAGGGAGAGAGGAGAGGGAGGGAGGGAGGAGAGGGAGGGAGGGAGGAGAGGGAGGGAGGGAGGAGAGGGAGTAGAGGGAGGGAGAGAGGAGAGGGAGGGCAGGAGGGGAGGAAGGAGAGGGAGGGAAGAGAGGGAGGGAGGGAGGAGAGGGAGGGAGGGAGGAGAGGGAGGCAGAGAGGAGAGGGAGTAGAGGGAGGGAGAGAGGAGAGGGAGGAGAGGGAGGGAGGGAGGAGAGGGAGGGAGGAGGGAGGCAGAGAGGAGAGGGAGGGAGAGAGGAGAGGGAGGGAGGGAGGGAGGAGAGGGAGGGACAGAGGGAGGAGAGGGAGGGAGGGAGGGAGTAGAGGGAGGGAGAATCGCAAGACGGTCCATACCAAGAAGGAGTAGAATAATATTTTACTTGTGTGTGGAGACAAAATGGAGGAGGTGCTTTTAGAAAAAAAATGTCGGTACCCATAATGCTCAACAACCATGCAAAATCAGTTTGTACACAATATCTCTGCTTTCCCATCAAGTGAGCTCTCAGAGTAACATTCATCGCATGGCAGTCAAACAGGTACTGTTGTTTCCCTTCTACGTGACTTTACCGAAAGAACCAAGAATATGAGCTACTGTACGTGTTATTGTTTTTCTCAGCGATTGGAATTCTGTGCCACATTGAGCGCAGAACCAAGTTTAGGTGTTAGTTTTTTTATTTTTTTTGGCATCCGGGGATGAGACCGTAAAAATCTCAAACAATTGGCAATCCGCGCGAAACCACAAGCGGCTGAAACGTGGATGTCTCCCGACAATCTCAGGAGCGCCGGCAAAGCGCTCGAACTTCTGAGCCACCGGGCCTCCTCGCAGCACCACGTACACAGGGCCACGAGCGTCTACACAGCAGTGTTTATCATTCATTTTCAGAGGGGTGTGGGGGGGGGGTGAACTTTCGCCGATAAGACATCATCAGTGTGAGGGGCCACCAGACATTTGAAAGCATTGGGGGTTTGACAGCAGCGCAATGGGGTGCATCAGAGGGCCGCACTAACGGCCACGAGGAGACCGCCAGTGGCCCGTGGGCCTTGCGATGAAGAGTACCGCTCTGCAGCGAAACTTTCCCCATTATCCGTAGGGCGGGTTATCCGGGTTACAGTGCCAACTCCGCTTGAGAGTTAAGTGAACAAAATGTTCATAGACGTCCTCTGGTTCCCTCGATTCGCTGCTCCCCGCTCATCGAGAAGTCCGTGACTTTGGGGAAAGGTGCCCTCCCAGAAGACCGTGCAGCTGATGGAACGCGTCGAGGTGTTAACTCCCTCGCCTGCTATACATGAGGTCGTGGGTTCGATCCCGCCCGTATGTTTGGAGTTTGCGTGTCTCTCTCTCTCTCTCGTCGAGTGGTCGCGTGGATTTTGCTCGGGGTCCTGCGGGTTCTTCCCTCCACATTTAGTTTCGCGACTGAAAAACATGCTCGCCAACAAACTGCTGGCTTAAGGCTCGATGAGAACAGACGCCGCACTTTATGGTTCCACCCCTCGCGCTACGCAGGCAAACGGTAACGACGCTTCGATCGGCTGATCGTTTGCGTGCGTGTTGCTTTGTCCGTGATTTAGTTTTAACTGGGTCGCCGTTGCCCCCAACCGCCCAGATAATCGAGAGTTGTCAGTGCACGTGCACCGTGCGTACGTGTGAGAAAGCGCGTGCACGCGTGTGTACGTGTGTTGAGGGGAGCGGTGGCTGGCGCGCCGCGCTGCGAACCCGGCGACCCAAGCTCGATTCCCGCTCGCAGCCAAACCACATCGGTAACGAACACCTGAACCGGTCCTGGGCCTCCCCTAAGTCGACGCAACCCCAAACGAGCACCCGCTGTTGTGTGTCAACATCAGGCGGGGGAGACGAAGGTGGCTGGGCATTGTTCTGGTGGTGCTGTTTGTGGTGCTGCTGGTGGTGGTGTTGGTGGTGGTGTTGGTGGTGCTGCTGGTGGTGGTGTTGGTGGTTCTGGTGGTGGTGCTGGTGGTGGTGTTGGTGGTGCTGTTGGTGGTGGTGTTGGTGCTGTTGGTGGTGGTGTTGGTGCTGTTAGTGGTGGTGTTGGTGGTGCTGGTGTTGGTGGTGCTGGTGGTGGTGCTGGTGGTGCTGTTGATGGTGGTGTTGGTTGTTCTGGTGGTGGTGCTCTTGGTGGTGGTGCTGGTGGTGTTGGTGGTGGTGCTGTTGGTAGTGCTGTTGGTGGTGGTGCTGTTGGTGGTGGTGGAAACACAACCAACTTGCATGGGCACCACGCCGTGCAGCCCTTCATAGGTTGCTACTCGCTAGCGGCACTTGCCCCAAGAGCCCGCTGAGGCTACACGTGTGGGGTGGGGGTAAACCTTTGTCTTTGTCTCCCCCCACCTGAACGAGTCTCGCGAGGCTCCCGCGGGCCCCGTGTGCACGTATCGCACGGCGCCCGCCGCCACGTCCGCCTGCGTGAACCTCCCCGCGCCGACGCCCGGGCTCGCCGCCAGCTCCAGGCGCCCGTGCGCCGGCGGCGCCGTCACCACGAACAGCAGCTCGTCGGGGCGGCCCGAGGCGTCGCTCGCGAGCAGCGCGTCGGCCGACAGCGCCGCGGAGTCGCGCGCCGCCACCGACACGCGGCCCGTCCGCACCGCGATGTCACCTGCGGGCGGGGGTCAAGGGACAAAGGTCAAGGGGGGGGGGGGGGGGGAGTTGGGGTTCGAGTGAACGATGGAGTTCGGTTTAGGGTTAGTTTGCTGGGGGCAGGGTTAGGGTTAGCGACAGGGTCAGGGTGATTTTTTTTTTTAAACGGCAGCCCGTGCGTGGCCAAGGGGACGCTGGCGGGCAATCACGAGCGCCGCCCTCCGTCTCGCCGACCCCGACACGGCCCCCCAGGACCTCCGCTACGTCGTCGCGAAGCCCCCCAGCCACGGCGGCCTGTACCTTCGAGGCCAGCTGCTGGTGGGTGGTGCCCCCTTAAAGCCGCGCCTCTTCTCTCCTGCCCATTCTCTTCCCCTCCGCTCCCCTCGCCCCTCCGCTCCTTCCCGTCCCTCCCCTCTACCCTTTTCGTGATCCCCCTACTGCCACTCATTCCTCGATCCTTGTAGATGGTCATCAAGCGAAGACGGCCACTGCATCGCACGCTTTCAGATGCGCTTCTGCGGCTATCTGGAACGCTCTTCCTTCTGATATTAGGAAGCCACTGGGAGCTATCCACTTTACATCTTGATTTGAAAACACATTTCTCAAAAACTGCTATTTGTGTTCAGTTTGTTGTTCTTCCCCTGCACCCCCGATTGGCATGGTTGGCTACGTACCGTGCGAAAGAAGTTCAACATACATACGTACAATTTGGAGGCAAGCTTAGGGTTTAGCGTCAGGGCCTAAAAGCAGGTTTAGAGTTGAAGGTCAGGGTTTAATTCAGGCGCAGGGTTAGGATCATGAGTCGTTAACATCACGCCAGGGTGGGAAGATGTTGACTACCTTGCCTGGTGTACAGATCACGGGTTCGATCCCGACCAGAACGCCGATATATTTGGAGTTTGCATGTCTCTCTCTCCATGTGACTACGTCCTCTGGCTCTTTTCCCCCTCCACATTTAGAATTAACAACATGCATTTAGAATATTTGGCTGATGCAAATTTCCACATGATAATCCACTTTGTTGAGCTATCATTTGTGGCCTGGTCACTTCTGAAAAAGAGCTACGTAGCTCAGTGGGCCTTACCTGGTAAAATAAAATGTTTTTTTAATAGGTTATTGGCAGGATTAGGGGGCAAGGTTGGGGTGATGGTTATCGATCACTAGCCCAGACCAGATATCTCACTTGTTGGTACCAACAGCTTCTTTATGTGGCCAATCAAAGTTGTGATGACCTTTAAAATGAGTGGGGTTATCAAGTCACTCTAAACTAAAGTATGAAGACTAAACTAGCAGGGTGTGCACTCCGATCTTCGACAATTCACTAAATAACATAAAAAGTGTGCCAACAGTATATTTGAACAATCCTCATTAACTTTCTGAGCAGATTTTTTTTTTATCCTGCGCAGTTCCGGGGCACCTCCCCCCCCGCCCCCACCCTCACCCCCCCACCCCCCTGCCCCCCATCCCCGGCGCGAGCCGCTTGCCCTTGAGCGCATCGCGGATGGAGATGACGAAGGAGGAAGGGGGGGCAGCGTTGTCCCCGTCGGTGAGCGTGAAGCGGAAGGAGTCGTGCAGCGCCGCCGCCGGCACCGCGTGGTGCCGGTAGCGCAGGCGGTTCTCGTCCACGTCCTCCTGGGAGAAGGCGGCGCCGGCGAGGAGCTCGCGCCACTCGCCCCCGTCCGACTGGCAACGGAGAAACAAGCGTGGGGAAATGCAATGTAATACAATGTTGTGGGGCAATGTAATACAATGTTGTGGGGAAATGCAATGTGATACAATGTTGTGGGGCAATGTAATACAATGTTGTGGGGAAATGCAATGTAATACAATGTTGTGGGGCAATGTAATACAATGTTGTGGGGCAATGCAATGTAATACAATGTGGTGGGGCAATGCAATGTAATACAATGTTGTGGGGCAATGCAATGTAATACAATGTTGTGGGGCAATGCAATGTAATACAATGTTGTGGGGCAATGCAATGTAATACAATGTTGTGGAGCAATGCAATGTAATACAATGTTGTGGAGCAATGCAATGTAATACAATGTTGTGGGGCAATGCAATGCACTATGGTGGGGCAATGCAATGTAATACAATGTAGTGGGGCAATGCAATGCAATACAATGTTGTGGAGCAATGCAATGTAATACAATGTGGTGGGGCTATGCAATGCAATGCACTATGGTGGGGCAATGCAATGCAATACAATGTTGTGGGGCAATGCAATGTAATACAATGTTGTGGGGCAATGCAATGTAATACAATGTTGTGGGGCAATGCAATGCACTATAGCGGAGCAATGCAATGTAATACAATGTTGTGGGGCAATGCAATGTACTTTAGCGGGGCAATGCAATGTAATACACTGTAGTGGGGCAATGCAATGCAATGCACTACGGCGGGGCAATGCAATGCAATACAATGTAGTGGGGCAATGCAATGCCGGCGAGAGAAGCTCGCACCTTGTGCTGCAGCGAGCCCTGTCGGGGCGCGCCGGCGAGCACGAAGGAGACGCCGTCGCGTCCCGTGTCCCCGTCCTCCGAGTCCAGCTCGGCGCTGGAAATCACGCGGCTCTCACCCCAATCCACCCACGCCCCGGCGTTCCTGCACGGGGAGCACGGCGGAGGCGGCGGCGGCGGCGGCGCCGCGGTCACAACGCGGCCGTGCCCTCGACGGCGACGTGGAACCAACGCACGGGTGAGCCGGGAGGTTCACTGTGGCCAGAGGCATTTGTTGCGCGCGTGTTCGAATTCGGTAACAAACAAAAAGAAAAGCCCCCTCAATATTTCAAAGAGACCGCGCAATGCACTGTGGCGAATACGCGAGGGCGGTCCTCTACGAGTAACGTCACAAAGGAGCCACCGCACGCGGCTCCGGGGCCGCAGCTCTGCCGACCCCTCGCTCTGTCCGATGCCGCACGAGGGCCTCGTTCTCAGCGGCGCGGCGCGCGGATCGCCGTGGGGGGGGGGGGGGGGGCGGTGGTGCGGTGGCCCCCCCCCCCGCCCCGCGCGCGAGGGCTCACCGCGTAAGGCGCGGCGGCTCGTCGTTGACCGGCTGGACGTGCACGGCGACGGTGGCCGTGGCGGCGTGCGCCCCGTCCCACACGCGCACCGAGAACGCGTCGTCGGCGCTCTCCGAGCCGTCGTGAACGTACGTCAGCACCAGGCCTGCGCGCCGGTGGGCACGGTTAGAGAGAGAGGGGGAGACGGAGACACCGTGAAGACGGAGATCCCCCCGATCGACCCACCGTGTATGGTGTCCTTCGCAAGCCCCGTACAAAGGCAAAGATCCCCCGTATAGCCTCAGCAGACTGTTTGGGCAAGTGCTGTGAGCGAGCAGCACCGATGAAGTCCGGTACGGCGCAACGAGGGGGTTGAGTGGCCAGCACCATGCCTGGCCGCCTCCATATATATACTGTACAGTCAGTTCTATACTCATATGCACACACAAACACTAATACATGCATACCGTCTCTCGCACGTGCATTTCTACACGTATATCCAAAAGACAAAGATCCCCCATATAGCCTTAAAAGACTGTTGGGGCAAGTGCTGTTATGAAGGCCGAAATGGCACACGAGGGGGTGGGTGGCCAGCTACCTCACCTGACCACCTTTGTCTCCCCAGTGGCGATGTTTACACACCGCACCAGGTACTCATTTGTGGCCGAGCCGACTTCGGGGAAGCCCAGGACCATTTCAGATAATCGTCACCGGTGTTGGCCATAAGCGGGAATCGAACTCGGGTCGCTAGGATCGTAGCGCAGCGCGCTAACCGCTACACTACCATTCCCCACACACATACACACATACACACACACATACACACATACACACACACGTGCCCACACAAGTGAACACGCACATGCCGAGCGCAAACCACGGCCCTGAGCAGCTCGGGGAAGACGCGTGGAGCAGCGCGGACCTCGGTAAGAAGAGCGGCCGGCGGATGTGCCCCAATGGGAGACGCCAAACGATGGAAGACGAACAGAAAGCAGCAGAATAAACCAAAAACGATCAACTATTTTTTTCAGAAGCAACCTGGCCACAAATGTCAGCCCAACAAAGTGGCTCATCACGTGGAAATGTGCTGCAGCCAAGACTCTAAGCGCACGATGTCGATTCCAAATGTGGAGGGAAAAACCGGAGGACCCGTAGAAAAAATCCACATCTCATCGGGGAGGGAGACACGCAAACTCCAAATAAACAGCAGGCGTCAGGGTTGGGATCTAACCCACAACCTCCTGTAGACTGGGTGAGGTAGTTAACATCTCGCGAGTGCGCCGCACCTAAATCGGATGAAGACCCCCCCACCCCCCCCCCCCCCCCCAAATTGCCAGCGCCGCGCTGGCGCCGCGTGCCTTGCTTGAGCTGCTCCATGCCGAACGACGACATCACGCCGACGGCGTCGTCGCCGTCGGCGTGGCTCTCCGCGCCGTCGGCGTGCTGCTGCGTCCCCGTCAGCCGGCGCCGCCGCGAGGGGTCGGCGCCGCGAGCGCCGCACACGAGGACCCCGTGCCGGGGCTCCGTCACCACGGAGAAGCGGAGGGCGTCGGCGGGGACGTCCAGATCGACGGCGTCGATGACCGACGGTCCCAGCTCCCTGCTGTGTCCCTCCAGCACCTGGGAGATGGTGTGGGGGGGAGAGGAGAGAGAGAAGGGAGAGAGAGAGTAGAGAGAGAGTAGAGAGGAGAGAGAGGAGAGAGAGTAGAGAGGAGAGAGAGAGTAGAGAGAGAGTAGAGAGAGAACAACGAGCGGCTCGGTAGAGAGTTGATGCCCCCTCATCTTAATGAAATGACCGTCACGATGATCACAACGGTGATGACGATGACCTTGATCCTTAACACTGCCGCAACTGCTGCTGTTGACAATCGGCAATGGCTAATGCCGCTAACGATGATGTGTTTGGACACGGTGAACTTCTTTGATGACGACGACGACGACGCTCATGGCAATAGCGACCACCGACAGCCGGGAGCCGCGGCGACAACGGTGGGGGCCCCGGGGCTCGCGCACCGTGATGTTGCGCGCGACGAGGGCGGGCGGCTCGTCGTTGGCGGGCGCGATGAGCACGTGCAGGACGAGGTCGCGCGAGCGCCGCTCGCCGTCCGTCGCGTGCAGCGACAGCTGGTCGCCCGTGGGCTCCACGTGCTCATGGCGCGACTGCACGTAGTTCACGTGGCCCGCCAGCAGGTCGTGCAGCGAGAACGAGCCTAGGGCGGCACCAGCGGCAGCAGAGAGCACGGTGGGGGGGGTGGTGGGGGGGGAAGGAGAGGCAAGGAGAGGGAAGGAGAGGGAAGGAGAGGGAAGGACATGCACGGGAGACAATGGTGAAGCAGGTGCGGCTGAACCAACTGGGCAGTGGTAATCATCGTTATCCTCATGTTTATCATTGTTCTCATAATCGTTATCACGTTCGTTATCATCGCCGTTTTCGCGTTCACGTGAATGTTTTCGCGAGGCTGTGCGCCAGAGCCGAACGTGCGTCTCCCCAGGCACGGAGGAGGTGGAGGCGACCGGGCAGCGCCGTACCGACGCTGATGCCGGCGTTGCTGCGCTCGTGGCCGGGCGACGGCCGCGTGTTCTCCATGAAGCCGAAGCGCGGCGGCGCCACGAGCACGAGCAGCAGCTGCTCGGCCGGCGTGTCGGGGTCCAGCGCCGTCAGGTGCTCCGCCGACACGCGGACGCGGCCCGCCTCCTCCACCAGCAGCACCGCGCCTGTGCCACCGGCACGCAATCGAAGGTAAAGATCCCCACCCTGTAAGCCACACGCGGGCCGGTCGGGGCAAGCGTTGTACGGTACGAGCGCCGGCAGCGAAGTTTCCCGCGACGGTGCATGAGTGGTGTGTCCAGCAACCACGCAGCGACCGCGGCCGTCTCCCCGGTGATGATGGTTATCCGCAGCGTGGAGGGAAAACCCGAGGACCCGGAGAAAAATCCACGCCACCACGGGGAGAGAGAGAGAGACACGCAAACTCCAAATATACAGCAGCAGGTGTCAGGGTTGGGATTGAACCCACGACCTCCTGCATACCAGGCGAGGTGGTTAACATCTCATAGCCAGTGTTGTTACGTCGAGCTCCGGTTTCTCGAAAAAATATTCAGGATGTTCGTGCCACATTTAGTCCGGGTGAGCTCGGACCAGGCACCTCACTCGTCAGTGCGGCCCGAGGGTTCGCGTCACTTCAACAGCCTCCAATTTCTCGACGTGGCCGAGCGCGACAGGAAGCTGATCGTGCGAAGACCGCCGCTCGGTCTTTTAACGAGCGGCGGTTCTCGAGGAATGCCCCCGGGGGCCCTGCGAGCGCCCCGCACGCACCCACGGCGAGCGAAGGCGGCTCGTTGTCGACGGGCGTCACGGTGATGTTGAGGTCGTGGATGGGCAGCGAGTCGTGAGCGGGGAGCGGGAGCGGCTCGCCTCCCTCCGCGTCATCATCGCCACCGCCGCCATCGCCGGCGCCGTCCGCTCTGCTGCCAGCCTCGGCGTCGGACAGCACCAGCGTCACCGTGTCGTGGACGGGATGCAGTCCGATTTCACCTCCTGCGGAGACGCGGACGGACCGACGGACAAACGGAATGCGTCATCCATGCGCGGGCGCGATTTTTATTGTCTCCGTGACCCTTGTTGCCAGCGTGAAGGTGATCAAATAGATGTGGCCAAGAATAACGGGAAGTTGACATCAGAATCAGAACGCTGATTTATACCGGAGGTATCCGATGAGCTGTAAAGTTATTCTTCACAGATGTCCAGTAAGTTTCACAGATGCCCCGTGGAGGATGTAATACAGGAGGTGTTGAGACTCAAGAGGTGTTAAGAAACACCGAATAGACTGCACCTATGACAAGGCACCTAGCACCGGCGGGACACAGCCATGAAAGACGCTGGCTCTGGTCCCGGCCGATCAGTTTCAAGTACTGCGTACGTTATGAAAGCATATGTTCGTATGTTTCACCACAAATATGTGTGGTTAATGGTTACGTGATGCCTTGTAATAAGGGGTGTCTATTTGGTGTTTCAAATGTTGTATTATTTCCAGAAAGGGTCAAGATTTGAGAAGTGAAACTGCGACACTTCTGACCAATTCACCGACTTCAGGTTCCGTGTGTGTGTGTGTGTGTCACCCATGCGTGTGTACTCATGTACACGTACCCGTGGCTGCGCGCGTGCCCCCGCGTGCGTACTCGTGTGACTGTGTGTGCACCCAAGTCAGAGCGGTTACGGGGAGCGGTGGTGCAGCGGTTAACGCGCTGCACCAGCACCGGTGATGGTTATCCGAACCTGTCCTGTGCTCTTCTCCGAGGTCGATTCAGCCTCCAATGAGTACCTGGTGCGGTGTGTCAACGTCGTCACTGGGGAGACAAAGGCGGCCGGGCGTGGTGCTGGCCGACCCACCCCCTCGTGCGCCGTGCCGGCCTTCATAGGTGCCGCTCGCTAACGGCACACGCCCCAACAGTCTGTCAAGGCTACACCCACGTGACCCACGCGCGTATAACCGCGTGCGCGTGCCCCCCGCGTACCCGTGTGTGCGTACGCGACGAGCCCCCGCGCGACGTCCCCCTGCGTGAAGCGCAGCGTGGGCACGCCGGCCCGCGTGAGCGTGCCGTGCGACGGCGCTCGCGCCACCAGGTAGAGGAGGCGCGCCGTGACGCTGTCGGCGTCGCGCGCCGACAGGTGGGCCACCGTCACGGGGACCGCGCCCCCTTCGGGGCACGGCAGCTCGGGGAGCAGCCCGGCCAGCAGCTGGGGGGACTCGTCATTGACGGGGGAGACCTGCGGGATCAAGGGGGGGGGGGGGAGGTGCGAGTAGGAGTCAGGTTTTGCACTGTAGGGTTGTCTTTAACGCTTTTAAATGAAACCCTTCACCGCTCCGATGATGAACGTCATCAGTTTGTTTTCGTCCTGCCCGACTGGGTTCCGGCTACGCGCGTGTACGTCGAAACGAGCGTTGCGTCGTCCAACAGATCTGCGAACGGAATCGGAAGTAAGAGGGCGTGCGGCACGCTTTGGCGCCGGCTATCGCAGAGTGCGGTCGTGTCGCCACGGTTGTCTGCGGTGAGCGCAGTGCAGTGCTTTAGAAAACAGTGGCGCTGCGCCTATCTGAATATAATGCCGAGCCGCTCGCGGTGTTCCGAGATTCGGCGGTGACCAGGGAGCAGACCTCTCGGAACGGGAAAGGGTTTAAGAGGGCGCGCTTTCATGCTAGCTCTCTCCGTCGGTCACCTGAATGCGAAGGACTCCTTCTGCAGTGTTGGTGCCATCGGTGGCCGTGATCACGACGTCGTCCTCCAGCGTCTCCGAGCCGTCGTGCTGATAACTGCCGACGGCACCGCGGTCGGTTAAAGTTGTCAGCCGTGCCGGCGGCGACGCTGTCTCGCGCCGTGTCTGCCCGCGTGTTCGCGTCGCGTGCCCTCACGTGAGCCGCAGGCCCCGCGTGTGCGCCGCCGTGAAGCGGTCGCCCTGGAGCAGCGCGACGCCGTCGAGCAGCAGCTCCCCGTGGCGTGGGCGGCGCGACACGACCAGCGCCAGCGACGCCGCCTCCGAGTCGGCGTCCCACACGGAGAGCGCCTCCTCCCCCAGGGCGCACCACGCGCCCTCATCCACGTGCACGGGGAACACCTCCAGCTGCACGCGCGCGCACGCACGCACACACACACACACGCGCACGCACGTACGCACACATGCGCACACGCACACGACACACAAAGCTCTCCCATATAGCCGTAACAAACTGTTGGGGCAGGTGTTGCTAGCGAGCACCTATGAAGGCCAGCGCAGCACACGAGGGCGTGGGTGTCCAGCGCCACGCCCCGGCCGCCTTTGTCTCCCGAGTGGCGATGTTTACGCACCGCATCGGGTACTCATTTGAGGCTGAGTGGACCTACGGGAGGCCCAGGACCGATTCAGATAATCGTCACGCACACGCACGCACACGCACGTACGAACGCACATGCACACGCACGCATAGGCGCACAGGTTCGTTTGCGGGTGCCTCCTGTCCCCTCTTCATTCGCGGACGATGCCGATAACCGTAATGGATTGTTGGGTTAGGGGCTGCGGTAACGATTCAACCACATCCACGTCGTCAAGACCCTCACACCACCCGACACACGTGCGTGTGTACGTGCATGTGTGCGAGCGTGTGCGTGCACGCGTGTGCATGCGCGCGTGTGCGTGCCTGTGGCGGCTGGTTGTCCACGGGCAGCACAGTGATGTTGAACGTGAAACCCTCGGCCACGCCGCCGTGCCGGTCGGTGACGGTGAAGGCAAACTCCACGGACCGCGGCCAGGGCCCCACGTCGGCCATGGGCGGCATGTACGCCACCTTCAGGTGGTTCACGGCGTGCTGCACATACACACACACACAAAGGTCCCCCGAGTAGCCTTCATATGCATGTACGTATGTAGAACTTCTTTCCCACCCTATGTAGCCAACTGTGCTAATTGGAGGTGTGGGGGAAGGAGAAGAAACTAAACACAATAAAGCAGTTCCAAAGAAATGAGTTTTCAAACAGACCGTTGGGGCAAGCGCTGTTAGCGAGCAGCACCTATGGAGGCCGGCACGGCACACGAGGGGGTGGGTGGCCAGCACCACGCCCGACCACCTTTGTCTCCCCAGTGGCGATGTTTACACACCGCACCAGGTACTCATTTGAGGCTGAGTCGGCCTAGGGCAGGCCCAGGACCGGTTCTGATAATCATCACTGGCGTTGGCCGTGAGCGGGAATCGAACTCGGGTCGCCGGGTTCGGAAGCGCAGCGCGCTAACCGCAGTGCCACTACTCTCACCACACAACAACAACCGCCATTCGGTTGCCCACAAATACTCCACTGGGATCACATACAGCAACCATCCCCACCCCAGCAGCTGCAAAAACTTGGCAGGGCCCTCCTGAAAACGAGTCATGAGACTCGTCAAGGCCGGTTTTTCCGTCCACATTCAGAAACGTGAGTTTCAAGTATTTGGCCGATAACAATTTCCACGTGATAAGCCACTTCTCGTTGAGCTATCATTTGTGATAGCCAGGTAGCTTCTGAAAAAGATCCAGATAGCTCAGTGGGCTTTACCTGGTAAAAATAAAAAATAGTTTAGTTTCCTGCCGAATGAAGCATCGCAGTAGTAGTAATAATAATAATAATCCATAATAGAGTTTGTTTTGGGTTAGATCGCGTAAATATATAAATGTGTCGTTAAAACCCGCCACCACCCGACACAGTCAATTAGTATGCGGTTGTCACGTAAACGGAACGTGCCAGTTCGTCACTAGTACAGCACACCGGTGTGATGGAGAACCAAGCCACAACATTTACAATCTGAGTACGACGTTTCGCCAGTAATTACAACTAGCTTCATCAGGCGACAGCCAGATAATAATAATTATAACAACCTGTGTGAAGGAGCGGATCTCAGCCACCGAAGCGTCTTTCGTCGCCTTGGTCATGCTGTCCATTGACACGAGCTTCCCAGCGTCCAGGGATCCGCTGTCGAGGCACACAACGCAAGCCGACGTCAAGGCCGCCGCGACAGTCCCACAATGAATCTCTTGCGGGGGAAACCCCCCCCTCATTAAACTGGGTTCTCGGGTGCAGTGAGTCGACGGCCGGTCACGAAAAAAATAAAAAATTCAACGAGTGACGCCGGGACGCCCAGCGTCCGCTCGCTCTCTAAGACAAAGAGCGACTCTCAGAGGCGCGGGGAACCACAGACAAGCGGGAAGGCGGTCACATGAAGAGCCGGCGCCCACAATCGCCCAAGCTTTGCGGTCCTCTATATATATGAAGGTGTTGCCGGCCAATTAACCCTTTCCCGTTCCGGAACGTCTGCAAGTTGCAGGGCGCGCGGTCCCGTTCGCCTCTGAATCTCGGAACGCACGAGCGGCTCAACGTTAATTTTATTTAGAGGTGTAGCTCTGCTGTTTTTAAAGACAATACACTCAAAAGGGACACGGCCGTCGCATTCCACGATAGCTGGCGTCAAACTGTGCCGCACGCCCTCCCGCAAGGCCTTGTGGGAGCCTCTGTACCGATACACTAATTTGTATTTTTATGGTTTCGTTTTCATGATGTACACATACGTCATCCTAACAGAATCGGAAGAAAAACTGATGACGTACACGTACGGGAAAGAGCTGATGAGCGTTTAAATGTGGGAGGAAACCGGAGCACTCCAGAGTAAACCCACGTGTGCGAGGGGGAAACACTCTATCCCATCTGCTTCTGGCAGAGCCAGGGAATATCAGCGGCACCTCCTCATCGCCCACGGGAAGCGAGGCTCGTGATCCACCAATCCTCGCTGCCACCTCCACAGCGCTGGATTACAGGCAGCCACGTGCAGCGGTGTAGCCACCGCCGTGCATCGAGAAGAACCGACTCGGACGGAGTGCCGTGTGGAGGTCAAGCGCTGAGCTGGCGCTCCTGACATTGTTTGGCAGACATCGAGGTTTCCACCGCTTGTGGCTTAATCGGATTTACCCAATTGTACAGAGTTTACGGTCTCAGCCCGGATACCAACAAACATAAAACCTTTCACTTAAATTCGGTTGTACGTACGTATGCTAAACTTCTTTCGCACCGTACGTAGCCAACCGCGCTAATCGGGCGTGCGGGGGGGAAGGACAACAAACTGAACACGGTCAGCGGTTCTAAAGAAAAGGTTCTGCACTTCACGTGGCTAAACTCCAGATCTGACGGGACCGCGTTGCGCGTAGCAAATCCAGCAAAACCCAAACTATCGGACAAACTTGGCAGACGTGCGCCGATGACGACGTCGCGGGGACGGTCAACGTGCACGCGGTGTTGTAACACCGCCGCCGTGATACCACGGCGATTCAAAACCGCCCGCCGCCACCGCCGCCGCCCTCACCCGGCGCCGTCCACGAAGCGGCAGGGCCGCACGAGGACGAAGAGCAGCTCCTGCGGGGGCGTGTCGGCGTCGCTGAACAGCAGCATCTCCCGCGTCAGCACCGCCAGCTCCGTCTCGCGCACCGCCAGGGCGCGCCGGGCACCGCCCGCGACCTCGCGCGGCACCTCGTTGTCCACCGGCGTCACGTGCACCGTCATGGTCTGCGCGCGGGCGCGGGGGGGTGGGGGGGGGGGTGGGGAGCAGCGGTCAGTCAGACGAGCGAACGACGTTCGAGGCCGCAGGGCACCGCCATGGCCGAGGGCGGCCCGCCTCGTGAGATGGACGGAGCGCGGTGCTCGACGCGTCCCCGTCAGCGGCACATGTGACCCACGGAGGTTTTTGGGGTTAGATCGCGTGAATAAAAATGCGTCGTTAAAGCCGCCACCGCCGGACACAGCCACTAGTAGGGATTGTCACGTCAAGAAAACATGGCAATTCTTGACCCCTACAGCACACCGGTGTGTTGGCGAGTAAACCCACTACAACATTCGCAATTCGAGGATCGCGACGTTTCTCCGGTAATTACAACGAGCATAATCAGGCGACTGCCAGAGTTGTGGAGAAATCCTCCTGTTTCGGTCTTAAATCCAAAAACCTCTATGAAGGATAATTTTGGTCACGAAAGCCGACTAGGAGTTAAATTATAAATATAAAACAGGCGACGTTTTGGGGAATATGTGCCGTGCAGAAGAAGGGGCATTGCCCGAATCGTTACCCATTACTACCATCATTATTTATTTATTTTTCCTTCCAAGGCCTCGCAGTGCTTGTTACGCGAGAGCGGCGCACTCACGTCCACGTGGGCCCCCCCCCACCTCAAACTCGACCCCCCCCGCCAAACCTCTACCCCCAACCAACCTCGACCCCCCTCCCAACCTCGACCCCCTCCACCGCCCCCCACTCCCCCATCTGGAACCCCCCCCCCCCGGCCCCCGGGGGAGCGCGTGCCTGCTTGTCGGACACGTTGGGAGGCTCGTGCGTGTCCGACAGCACGAACTCGAAGGCGTCGTGCAGCTCCTTGCCGCCGCGGTGCTCGTAGAAGATGAGGCCGTCGAAGAGGTCCCTTTGGAGGAACCGCTCCACGGGCTGCCCTGCCCTCGCCACAACCACACACAAAACCCTCGCCACAACCGCACACAAAACCCTCGCCACAACCACACACAAAACCCTCGCCACAACCGCACACAAAACCCTCGCCACAACCACACACAAAACCCTCGCCACAACCACACACGAAACCCTCGCCACAACCACACGCGAAGCCCTCGCCACAACCGCACACGAAGCCCTCGCCACAACCACACACGAAACCCTCGCCACAACCACACGCGAAGCCCTCGCCACAACCACACACAAAACCCTCGCCACAACCACACACAAAACCCTCGCCACAACCACACGCGAAGCCCTCACCACAACCGCACACAAAACCCTCGCCACAACCGCACGTGAAACCCTCGCCACAACCACACATGAAACCCTCGTCACAACCGCACGTGAAACCCTCGCCACAACCGCACGCGAAACCCTTGCCACAACCACACACGAAACCCTCGCCACAACCACACACGAAACCCTCGCCACAACCGCACACGAAACCCTCGCCACAACCGCACACAAAGCCCTCGCCACAACCGCACATGAAACCCTCGCCACAACCGCACATGAAACCCTCGCCACAACCACACACAAAGCCCTCGCTACAACTGCACACAAAGCCCTCGCCACAACCGCACACAAAACCCTCGCCACAACCACACACAAAACCCTCGCCACAACCGCACACAAAACCCTCGCCACAACCGCACACAAAACCCTCGCCACAACCGCACATGAAACCCTCGCCACAACCGCACACGAAACCCTCGCCACAACCACACGCGAAACCCTCGCCACAACCACACACAAAACCCTCGCCACAACCGCACATGAAACCCTCGCCACAACCGCACGCGAAGCCCTCGCCACAACCGCATACAAAGCCCTCGCCACAACCGCACATGAAACCCTCGCCACAACCGCACACGAAACCCTCACCACAACCACACGCGAAGCCCTCGCCACAACCGCATACAAAGCCCTCGCCACAACCGCACATGAAACCCTCGCCACAACCGCACACGAAACCCTCGCCACAACCACACGCGAAGCCCTCGCCACAACCGCACACAAAGCCCTCGCCACAACCGCACATGAAACCCTCGCCACAACCGCACACAAAACCCTCGCCACAACCGCACACGAAACCCTCGCCACAACCACACGCGAAACCCTCGCCACAACCACACACAAAACCCTCGCCACAACCGCACATGAAACCCTCGCCACAACCACACGCGAAGCCCTCGCCACAACCGCATACAAAGCCCTCGCCACAACCGCACATGAAACCCTCGCCATAACCACACACGAAACCCTCGCCACAACCACACGCGAAGCCCTCGCCACAACCGCACACAAAGCCCTCGCCACAACCGCACATGAAACCCTCGCCACAACCGCACACAAAGCCCTCGCCACAACCACACACGAAACCCTCGCCACAACTGCACACGAAACCCTCGCCACAACCGCACACAAAGCCCTCGCCACAACCACACACGAAACCCTCGCCACAACCACACACGAAACCCTCGCCACAACCACACACGAAACCCTCGCCACAACCGCACGCGAAGCTCTCGCCACAACCAATGCCAGTTACACTGGTTTATGTTTTCAAGCTATGGGAGGAACCCGGAGGAACCCACGCAGGACGGAGGGAGAACGCACAAAACGGCACAGGGAACGGCGCCCGAGTCGAGAATCGAACCCCGCCGTGAGGCACCTCCGATACACGCACACAAGCGTCACCACCGCGAGACTCGACGATTCACCGCACCCCTAACCCAACGGCACGCACCGCGCCACCAATATGCGCGGACCGAGAGGCGGGTCGCGGGTTGTGGTTGGGGTTGGCGGATCACGCAGTGACTCACCGGGGCCGCCCGGCTCGTCCTTACGGAGCAGCCGCCCGGCGGCGGGCGGTGCCGTCACGGTGAAGAGCACCCTGCCGTCGGCGTGCGGCTCGTCGGGGTCGCTGGCGCGCAGCGCCTCGGGGGAGACGGGCACCGTCTCGCCGGCGCACGCGGCGAGCGCCAGCGCGACGACGAGCGCCGGCGGCGTGTCGTCGACGGGCGCCACGCGCACGGGGAAGGAGTGGCGCGCCGAGTGGCGGCCGTCCGTCAAGCGGAGCGCCACGTGGTCGCGGGCCCCGTCGCTGCCGTCGTGGTGGTAGCGCACGGCGCCGTCGCGCAGGTCGCGCACCGAGAACGAGAAGCCTTTGGCTCCTGTGGGGGGGGAGGGAGGGTGGGAGGGATCATCGAGTGCCTGCGGCTGCACGCGTCGCCCGCACCACGCCGCTCCGCCGCTCCGCCGTGCCCAGCCACCCCGGGTCCCCTTTGTGGCCCCTCCGTGTCCCCTCCTCCCGCCCACGTGTGAAACCCCCCCCACAACCCCCCCCCCCACTAACCCCCCCCAAAGTGATCCTGCTCCTCCCCCCGCACCGCCCCCTAATCCCGGGCGAGCCCCCCCGCCCAGCCCCCTTATCCCCCCCCTGCCGCACCGCGCACGCTGAGCCGCCCGTGCTGCAGGCCGCCCACGGCCAGGATGCGCACGGCGGCCAAGTCGTCGTTGTCCACCACCTGGAAGCGGTCCCACGTGATGGCCCGCGACTGCCCCTCCAGCAGGTCCAGACCTGGGTGGGGGGGGGGGGGGGGGGTGGAGGACCGCGGGGTGTAGGGGTGGGGGGTAGATGGAGGGGGGGAGATGGAGGGGGGGAGATGGAGGGGGGGAGATGGAGGGGGGGCGACGGGAGCACACGGGGCACGGTGAGCCATCAAACAAAGATGGTCACTGCATTGCGCTTCTGCGGCTGTCTGGAACGTTCTTCCATCCAATATTAGGAAGCCACTGGACCTGTGCACTTTTAAATCATCTAGTTTGAAAACTACTTTCTTTAGAACGGATTTTTGCGCTTAGTTTGTTGTCCTTCCCCCGCACCTCCAATTAACGTGGTTGGATACGTACGGTGAGAAAGAAGTTCAACACACACACAGCACACAATTGACACAATATGGAACACACGGGACCCGAAGCACGCATCCCAACGGTGTGTAGGTACCATCTAGGTCAGTCATCCCCTAAGACTGTCCCGTGACCTTCCATGCTTCAAGGGGCCTCTAAGTGCACCTAGCCTGGCACAGGCGCTGTGGTGATGTCACCACCACTTAGTGGTGAATGGTGGCTGTTGTTGTCCGCATGTGGGGAACGGCTTCCCGTGTACGATTCCTATTCACGGCCAACAGCAGTGGCGAATATCCAAACTCTTCCTGGGCCTCTCCTAGGTCGACTCAGCATTTAAACGAGCACCCGGTGCGGTGCGCACACATGGGCATTGGGGAAGACAAAGGAGGCAGGGCGTGGTGCAGGTCACCCACCGCTTCGTGTGCCGTGCGGGCCTCCATAGGACCTCACCAACAGCACTTGCCTCTGACGGCCTGTTCAAGGCTATCGGGGTTGGGGGGGGGGGGGGACGGGAGATCTTTGCGAGTGTCCGTGTGGGGCCGTGCATCGCACACCCATGTTCCAGGAGACGCGGGGCGCGTTGGTCTCCGTGTTGCGGATGGAGATGTGGAGCATCAGCGGGGCGCTCCGAGCGAAGTAGGAGTCGTGAACCTCGAACTCCGCCTGCCGTGCGAGCGTGCGTTGGAAGCGTGCGTGCGAGCGTGTGTTGGAAGCGTGCGTTGGAAGCGTGCGTTGGAAGCGTGCGTGCGTGTGTTGTAAGCGTGCGTTGTAAGCGTGCGTTGGAAGCGTGTGTGCGTGCGTGTGTTCGAAGCGTGCGTGTGTTGGAAGCGTGCGTGTGAGCGTGCGTGACACCAGAACCACGGGACACACAGCTCCATAGGCGCGGACAAATGGGCAACAGTCCAGCCGCTGCCTGGCAAGCGAGACAGGCAGCTTAGCGCGACAGACCATCGCTCAGACTCGCGTTGGGCCGTGCAGCCACTGCAGAGCCTGGCAGAGACAAGGGGCCGTCCATAAGTGACGTCACGCGATTTTGGCCGATTTTTGACCCCCCCTCTCTCCCCACTTCGTCACGCGGCGTCACAAAAAGTCAGACCCCCCCCCCTCAAATATGACGTCACAAAGCTCTGCCCCCCTCCCCCCTCCAAACCATACTGTGTTTCCAATTTTAAAATAAAACATGCTTCAAACCGCTTTAAACTATTGTCATTGTAGTGCGTATTTAATGTGGCGCTGCACTCTGATGTTGTAGGAGAAAACATTTATTAAAAAGTCATTTAATTAAGTAGAACGTGTAGTCTATATTTATTTAAAGTTGCGCATTTTGATGTGACGTCACATTTCTCAACCCCCCCCCCCCCCTCGTCACACATCGTCACAAATGTCTGATCCCCCCCCCCTAGGTGTGTGACGTCATTTATGGACGGCCCCCAAGCATCCTGCCTGTGCTCCATTAGGTAGACACTCAGCCAGAGTGACGGACCTTAATACAAACAGACACCCAGCCCGCCTGGGTTCTGTTGGACAGACGCTCACAGTCAGATAGGCAACCAACTTGTACTCTGACCAGCAGAACAAACCAACACAGTCACTCAGAGTCAACCAACAGCCAGCTAGACTGACGGACCGCCTGTGCTGTATTAGTCAGAAACACAACCAGCCAATCAGACAGAGAGACATGGACAGGCATCCTCCACTCTGTCCAATATCCACACAGAGCTTGACGCATACCTCACTCACCCTCCCTCCCGCCCGCCCTCCTTCCCACCATCCTGCCTGCCCCCGTGCCCGCCCACCTGCCCGCCCACCATGTCCGCTCTCCCGCCCACCCCCCCCCCGCGCGCCCACCCACCTCGTACGTGCGTCGCTCGGCGTGGCTCGAGTTGGGCGGCTGGTACGCGACGAGCATCTCGTTGAGGTCCCTCCAGGTGAAGGAGGTGACGGGCCGCGTGTGGTCGCTCAGGTGGGTGAGGAAGCCCTCGGCGGGCGGCTCGGTCACGTTGAACACCAGGTCGTGGCGCGGCGTCTCCCCGTCCTTGGCGTCGAGCGAGGCGACGCTGATGGGCGTCAGGATGAACTGGTCCACCTCCAAGATGAAGGACGACATGGGGGCGGCGTGCGGCGGCTGGTTGGGCACGGCGCCCTCGATGTGCACGGGCAGCCACATGTGCTCCACCTATTGCGGACGGACGGACGGACGGAGAGTCCGCGGGCAGACGGACCGACAGTCACGTACGTACGTTGAACTTCTTTCGCACCGTACGTAGCCAACCGTGCTAATCGGAGGTGCGGGAGCGGGGGGGGGAAGGACAACAAACTAAATTAGAACAGAGAGCACGTGGGGGTCACAAAAGGGCAGGGGGTGGGTGGCCAACACCACGCCCGGCCGCCTTTGTCTCCCTAGTGACGATGTTTACACACCGCACTAGGTACTCGCACACGCACATGCACGACACGCGCACAGGCACGACACACACACACACGCACGCACCGACACGCGTGCCCTACCTTGTGCGGCTGGCCGCGTGAGCCCTCCCGGATCTCCAGCACGAGGGGAACGTAGTCCACGTCGGGGCCCGGCGGGCTCAGGTGCTCGTAGCGCAGCCCCAGGCTCAGGAAGCGCTCGCAGGGCACCCTGCCCAGCACCGCTCCCACCGCGCTCAACCTCCCGCTGCCCGGCGACGGCGGCGCCAACTCTCCGCCGGCGCCGGCGCCGCCGCCGAAGGAGTGCGGCGTGTCTCCCCGCCCGCCCTCCGGATCCGGACCGAAATCCGCGTCGGCCGCCTCGTCGCGGTGGGGCGCGACGAGGCGGCCGTGCGCCGGCCGGCCGGTCTCCTCGCTCGGCACGCGGATCCAGCAGCTGCGGCCGCGCGCCGGGTTCTCGGCGTCGGGCGCCAGCGACAGGACGGAGCGATCGAGGGCGCCGCTCGTGCCCATGAACGACGCGACGCGGAGCGGCGAGGGGCCCGGCAGGAGCAGCGCCGTGCCCGGCGCCGGCTCGGAGACGGTCACGAGCAGGTGCACCAGCTCCAGCTGCGTGTCCGAGTCCGAGAAGCTGCGGCCAGAGCGCAGGGACATTGTTTAATCTTGAACCATTTCCGTTCCGATGACGCACGTGCACGTGCTGCGTACCGTCATGCATTTTTCTTCCGATTCCGTTCTGATGATGTGCGTGCGCATCATCAAAAATGGAACCAGAAGAAAAAAGAAAATATATTTTTTATTGGCACCGAGGATCCCACGAGGCCATGCGGGAGGGCGTGTGGCACAGTTTTGGCGCCAGCTATCGCAGAGTGCGTAGAGTCGTGTCGCCACGGTTCACGGTGGCGAGTACAATGCCTTTAAAAACAACGACGCTACGCCTCTATACATAAAATTAACGCTGAGCTGCTTGTGCGTTCCGAGATTTAGCAGTGAATGCGACCACCACCACCACCACCACCCCCCACCCCCACAACATGCAAATGTCTCAGAATGGGAAAGGGTTAAGATTTGCCGAAAGACGAAACGGATCGCGAGTCAAAGTGCAACGGGACGGTCGCAAGAGCCGTTGCTGTGGAGAACATCATCACTCCCACTCTTTGCTACGGCTGCCGTTCGCCGTCCGTGCATTCTGAGCCATGGCCTCGGAGTGAAAGCACCGTGCAGAGTCAGTCCGAGCAGCACCAGCGTTTAAATGTATATTTTTTATTTAGGGGCCGTCCATAAATGACGTCATGCACCTGGGGGGGGGGGGGGGTCAGACATTTGTGACGATGTGTGACGAGGCGGGGGGGGGGGGGGGTTTGAGAAATGTGACGTCACATCAAAATGCGCAACTTTAAATAGCTATACACGTTCTACTTAATTAAATAGACTTTTTAATCAATGTTTAATCCTACAACATCAGAGTGCAGTGGCAATTTAAATAATTGCTACAATGAGAATAGTTTAAAGCGATTTGAAGCGTGTTTTATATTTTTTTTGGGGGGGGGGCAAAGCTTTGTGACATCATATTTGAGGGGGGGGGGTCTGACTTTTTGTGACGCCGTGTGACGAGGAGGGGGGGGGGGTCAGAAATCGTCCAAAATCGCGTGACGTCACTTATGGACGGCCCCCTTAGTGAATGCAAAGTCCCTAAGCCAAACGGTTGCTTCAGGTTCTGCTGCATTGAAGGGTGAGTCGGCCTCCGCTGACTTTGTGAATTGGGCAGACTTCTAGGATGTGGTGCGTGGGTTTTGCTGCACACCACAGGAACACAAGGCGCTTGCTCTCATGTCCCATCGGTGGAGGTTGGCGAGTCGCGGGCTGTGGCCGGTCCTGAACGCTGTTGGGTGTGGACCCACTCCCTTCCTGGGGACGTTGAAATCAGTGGGCTGTTGTGTGTGGGGGTAGTCATGAGGTGCTTAGTGTGTATGGTTAGTTTCACAGTTATCGTGTTATAGTTGTAGTGTTACAGTTTTAGTGTTATTCATAATAAAGGTTTTTGGGTTAGATCGCGTTATTTAAAAATGTGTCGTAACCCTCCACCACCGACACGGCCAATCAGCAAAAAAAAGTGTCACGTTGACAAAAGACAAATAATTCACTACTTTAGCCCACCGGTGTGTTGTCTTTTGCCAACGTGACACTTTTTTTTGCTGATTGGCCATGTCGGGTGGTGGAGGGTTACGACACATTTATAAATAACGCGATCTAACCCAAAAACCTTTATTATGAATAATATTGGTCGCGAAAGCCTACGTGTTAAACAGTTTTAGTGTTATAATTAAAGTGTTATAGTTACAGTGGTATAGTTACAGTGTGAGAGGTTTTATTGTTATAGGAATAATGTTATAGCTACAGTGTTATAGCTACAGTGTTATAGTTGCAGTGTTATAGTTACAGTGTTATAGTTACAGTGTTATAGTTAGTGTTATAGTTATAGTGTTATAGTTATACTGTTATAGTGTTTTCGTTAGTGTTGGTGTTATAGGTAGTATCATAGTACAACATGTGCTAGTGGCACAAGCGTCGTTGTGACGTCACCGCCACTTGGTGACGTCACCGCCACTTAGTGGCGAATGGCGGTTGTTGTTGTTGCTGTTGTCAGTGTTCCCACACGTGGGAAGTCTCTCTCAACTGGAGGCGATGGACGAGGCGTGGTGACGTCTTTGCCATCGTACTCCTTGATTAGCTGACCCCATGCCCATACTGGACATGTGAAGAATAGCTTCATAGCTCATTGGATTACTCCTGGAGTCTAAATGAAGATTATGATGAGCATGGTTGGCGACGTTGGGTGCAAAAGTAGTTCGAAGATTTTTTCATACTTTTTTTTATTTTACCAGGTAAGGCACACCGAGCAATATAGCTCGTTTTCAGAAGTGACTTGGCTATCACAAATGATAGCTCAACAAAGTGGCTTATATGATGTGCAAAATTTATAGCAGCCAAATACTCTAAACGTGTGCTGATTCTAAATGTGAAGGGAAAAAACGGAGGACCCGGAGGGGAATCCACGCGACCACAGGTAGAGAGAGAGAGACATGCAAACTCCAAATAGACACTGAAAAATAATAGCTTTTACCCTTCATGTCAATGAAATAGGTGAGAATAGGTTTTCCCCTTTTATCTAGCAACAAAACAGTTGTGTTGAGATGTTAAAACGCCAAACTGAAACCTTTTACAAGGAGTCATGTCTGTATTAACCACAATACTTGTGGTCAGAATGCAAACAAAAAACATACTCTGATAATATGATGCATTGTCTTTGAAACTGATTGGTCCACACCAGAGACGGCTTTCTTTTGAGCCTCGTCTCAAACAGTGTTAGACCAGAGGACGCTAAAAGGCATACAGTTTGGTGTTTTAACATCCTAACACAACTGTTTTGTTGCCAGAAAAAAGGGGAAAACCCATTCTCATATTTTGGCACTGGCAAAGGAGGTCCCATGAAATAAAACAGGAGGTATTAAGATGTTCAAACACCAAATAGAAACCTTTTGCAAGAAATAAAGTCTGCATTAACCACACACAGCACTTGCGGTGAACACGCAAACAAACTCTGATAATATCTATAGGCGTCCTGTATACCAGGCGAGGTAGTTAACATCTCGCAGAGTGGGGTACAGCAGTGTCCGACGTACATCGTTGGCCACCTTCGGTGAGGGGTGGGGGGGGGGAGGTTTCCTGCCTTCCTTGAGGCAAGCTACGGTGGGGGAGGGGCACTTGGGGGGGGCACTTGGGGGGGGGGGCACCATCGCATCTAAAGGGGAGCTCTGAGCAGTGAAGCGACGTCGTCGGACCTTGCCCAGCTCACCGGTAAAGCCGCAGCAGCACGAGGTCGTGGTCCAGGAGCGGAGTGCCGTGGTGAGTGTAGCTCACCTCCCCCGGGGCCCAGCGGCAGTTGAACACCTGCACAGGGCCCAGCGGCGGACTTTAAGTGAGCAGACACCGTGACGGTCGCTGCGGTGAGGCGTGGGCGGGGATGCTGCTGCTGTTGTTGGTGGTGGTGGTGGTGATGATGAGACTGGTAGTGATAGTGTGGTTGATGATGATGATGGTCTTTGATGAAGTTTGAAGATAAAGATGATGATAGGATTGGTATGCATCGTGATAGTTTTGCTGATGATAATACTGCCAGTGAAAGTGCTGCTTATTATTATTATCATCAATAATGAGGATGGCGGTCGTGAAAGTGTTGATGATGATAATAGTAGTGGCAGTTGATTATGATTTTTGAGCGTGGAGATGACAATACAACATGCGCTACTACAACAACCAACGCATCTATCAACAAAGACAAAGATCCCCCGTATGGCCTTAACAGACTTTTGCGGAAAGTGCTCTTAGCGAGTAGCGCCGATGAAGGCCGGCAAGGCACGCAAAAGGGAATGTGTGGCCAGCACCACCTTTGTCTCCCCCAGTGCCGATCTTTACTACGCACCGCACAACCACCACAAAACCACCAGACACCACCGCCGCCGCCGCCACCACCAGGACGACGGTTCGCCCGCCCTTACGTGCGGTGCCACCTTGCCGGCTCGCTGCGTGATCGGCTCGTTCTGCACCACCTCCAGGCGGCACGCGTCACCGCTGGCCGCCGCCATCTCCTCCACCCGCAGCTCCTGGCTCGTCAGCAGGGCCCGGCCGCCCCTCGCCACCGCCAGGCCCCGGTTCACGACGACCAGCGAGGCGCTCGCCGGCTGGGGCTCCCGCACCAACGCCAGCAGCAGCGGCAGCAGCGGGAGCCACGGTGCCAGCTTCATCTCAGCCGGCTGGGGTGGGGGCGGGGTCCCGGCAAGGCTGTGGGACAGGTGGAGCAGGGAGGCTCTCTGCTGGTTGAAGAGGGGGAGTATATTTTTTTGGGTGGAAGTTGAGCTTTTGTTCGTGGTTTTTAAATGTGCTGACTTCACACGTGATCCATGATACAGGGGCCGGGGGGGGGGGGGGGGGGTGGGGGGCAGGAAGGTGGGGGTGGGGGGCAAATAGTCAACAGAGATGACGATCGGTGTGGTAGGTAGGGGGCTGGCAGAGGAGTCGGTTGGAGCCTCCGAGCAGAAGGAGCGGAGAGGAACGAGGGGAGGAGGAGGCCACTCACAACACGCGTGGGCGGTGCTTGTGGTTCATTGGGCGTGGCGACGTCACAAAAAAGTGGGCGGGGCCGATAGTGGTGGCGACTTCCAGCTCACCACGTGCTCAGACTGCCAGTCTCCCAGACGTTCGGTCGCCTGGGGCACTTCTTGGTGGGTCGTTGAGAGGGCCTCTGGGGGCCTCTGGAGGCCGCTGTTATTTATCTCCTCGGGCAATTATTGACCGCCGTCGTTTCTATCTTTAATTCTGGCTTTTATTCCATCGTTTATATTTCTGTTGTTGTTGTTGCTGCTGCTGTGGTTGGTGGTGGTTGTTTTGAATGTTATTTCAAATGTTGGGTTTTATATATTTGCGCGCTATGTTTGTGTACGATATATCACTGCAGTTAGTTGTATTATATTTTGTGAAAATGCAGCTAAGTTTATATTCGGGTTAAATGCGTGCTAATTATACAGTATATTAATATCGTAGAATTTAAATAAACAAACAACAAAAACAAACGATGTTGATTTGAATACTTTCTACTTTGTACGTTGGGCAGTTTTGCACCTGCGACTAATTACAATTGTAACTTTTAAAAAAAGATTATATTATTCACATTTAACTATCACTCTGCTTTTAACTTGTATATTTTTGTTATTATATTGATACTTATTAACGTAAAAAAATGTTTACACTACGTTACAAAAGTTACGATAGTACTCCACTATTAAACTATAGTACTATTTATTTAAATATAGTACCCTATTTAACTCATCATCTCCAACCCACAAGGCATGTTGATCGCTCTTGATCGCTCAGTAAACATCTTAGCAATATCTAAACATTGCGATTCCACCGATAGTTTTAGTTTCTTCCCCTTGAGGACCTGGGGGAATTCCTTGAACTCTTTGTTTGGTGTTGGTTGGTGGTGATTGTTGTTGTTTCTGTTGACACACACACAGGCAATGGAGATGTCACAACAATTACAACAAAGACAAAGATCCGCCTACAGCCTTAACAGACAGTTGGAGTGGAGTGGTCTCGCCAAAACCACGTCAGCCGCCTTTGCCCAGTACTGATTTTCACACACCTCACCACATACTTATTTGAGGCTGAGTCGACCTAGGGGAGGCCCAGGACCGGTTCAGATCATTTTCAATGGTGTCACCGTGAGCGGGAATCGAACTCGGTTTGCCGTGAGCGGGAATCGAACTCGGTTTGTTCGTAGCGCAGCGCGCTGACCACTACACTACCGCTCCCCACACAACAACAACAACCGCCATTCGCCACTAAGTGGCGGTGACGTCACCACGACGCTTGTGCCAGGCTATGTGCACCCTGAGGCCACGTGAAGTGTCGAACGCCCGCTGGCAGGAGGTCACGGGGCAGACCCAGGTGCCACGGGTCGACTGAGATGACTGGCTGATACACCACCTGTGCCCCCTACTGTGCCCCCTACTGTGCCAACCCACACAACACACTCACACGCATACACAAGACACGGTACAGATTAAAAACACACACACACCGTACACACAGCACACACCACGCTGGTGAGTGCACGTTGGTAAAAAGAGGAGAGCGTGGACGTGGGACCGCAGAAGTGACGTATAGAAACGAAACTAAAAACCATTTTTTTTTATATTACATGGTAAGGCCCAAGCGATCTGGCCACAATGATAGCCCAATTAAAGTGGCTTATCACGTGGACATTCATGGCAGTCAAATACGCTACATGAGCGTTGATTGTAAATGTGGAGAGAAAAACCGGAGGCCCCCGAGACAAATCGATGCGACCACCGAGAAAGAGACATCGCAAACTCCAAATATACAGCAGCAGCAGGCGTCAGAGTCGGGATTGAACCCACCACCTCCCGTATACCGGGCGAGGTAGTTAACATCTCCTAGCCACGACGACGACGATGATGAGAGAGAGAGACACGCAAACTCCAAATATACAACAGGCGTCAGGGTCGGGATCGAACCCACGACCTCCCGTATACCGGGCGAGGTAGTTAACATCTCCTAGCCACCGTGATGCTGATGAGAGAGAGAGAGACACACAAACTCCAAATATACAGCAGCAGGCGTCAGGGTCGGGATCGAACCCACGACCTCCCGTATACCAGGCGAGGTAGTTAACATCTCCTAGCCACGACGACAGCAATGGACTGGGCCGCACTGCGCTGCTTGCTGGCCAGCAGGCAGCGCCACAGCCCCACGGCACCCGGCTGGTGCACGGGAGGAGGTGATGGGCGGACGCGCGAAGCCGTCTGTGCGATGGCGTGTGGCGGGGTTTAAAAGGCGCGTGTGTGCAGCTCGTCGTGATGTGGGGCCGTCCATAAGTGACGTCACGCGATTTTGGACGATTTTTGACCCCCACTTCCCCCCCCCCCCTCGTCACACGGCGTCACAAAAAGTCGGACCCCCCTCAAATATGACGTCACAAAGCTCTGCCCCCTCCCCCCCCAAAACCATATTTTCATTTTGAAAATAAAACATGCTAAACTATTGTCATTGTAGTGCGCATTTAATGTGGCGCTGCACTCTGATGTTGTAGGAGAAAACATGTATTAAAAAGGAGGCGTTGGAAAGCTGAAATTTAGCATAAAATTCACTTGAAAATATTCAACGTCTAACTAAAACTGCAGATGTTCAGAATATTATATTGAAATTCTCTTATAATTATAAAATATTAAAAGTAATTCTAACTATACAAAAATTATTTAAACTTTGTAGTAGAACGAAGCAAAATGGAGAGTACAATTATAACAATCATGTATTCATTCCACAGAATGAAAAGCCCTGGTAGAATCATTAAAATAAAAATGTTTAGTAACAATCATTAAAAAAAAAATTCAAAATGTATGCTTCTCCATTCTCCCATGGAGAAGCAAAAATGCTCCTTCATGGAATAAATAAAAGGTGATCTTAGTAAATTTAAACAATCAAATAGTTAATAATGAAAATTAATCAAAATTTGTGTTGTTATAACATTTATATTTAATTTACTAGTGGAACATGCTGTTTATATTCATTTAAAGCTGCGCATTTTTATGTGACGTCACATTTCTCAAACCCCCCCTCCCCCCATTATCACACATCGTCACAATGTCTGACTCCCCTCCCCCCCCCAAGATGCGTGACATTATCTATGGACGGCCCCTGTGCTATGAAGAAAGGGTCGTTGCCCGAAACGTTCCCTGTTATCGTTTTCGCTTTTATTGCCACAGTGTTATGGCCACAGTGTTGTTGACGAATGTGCGGAGTTGTTGTTCACTCTGTGTGTGTGCAACACTGCCAACGCAGCAGCAGGCGCTACGGTGACGAGATGTCAACTACCTCGCCTCGTATACAGGAGGTCGTGGGTTCAATCCCAAACCTGACGCCTGCTGTCTATTTGGAGTTTGCATGCCTCTCCCCGTGGTCGCGTAGATTTTTCTCCGCGTCCTCCAATTATTCCCTCCAGATTTATAATGAACACGCATTTAAAGTATTCGGCTGCTATGAATATCCACCTGATACGCCACTTCGTTGAGCTATAATTTGTGATGGCCAGGTCCCTTCTGAAAAAAAAGCCCTCTAAAGCTCAGTGGGGCCTTACCTGGTAAAATATTATTTTATTTTATTGTAATTTAGTCGCTTGGCTTCTAACAAACTGACAACATCGAGGGGACGTTTCGGGTTGAGTGGCTGTACACGTCACCCTCTTGTACCGCAGGCGCATCAATTCTTCACTGCGCATCGTTCCCCTGGGATCGTCGAGAACAGAGTAACGGATATTACATTCCAGGGGCCAGGGGTTTTTTTCGCGAAAGATTTATCTACCATCACACGACCCAGCAACCTCACCCTGAGCAAGCACGTGCGACTCGCGTGGAACGTCGGAAGAGTTTATTCGTGTGTGCGTGTCCGTCCCCTACCTCCTTCCTTCCTCCCTCCCTTCCTCCCCACTTAAATTGATGTCTCTCCGATCCATTCCAGACAAACTGGTCCGGCCAAAAGCCCTCCAGTACCCCCCCCCCCGCCGCCGCCAAGGTTTTGTCTTTCTCACGCCACGCTGGGAAGAATTAGGCACTGCCCTGCATGGTAATTACACGCCGAGCTCAAACAGCCCTGACAACAGATGGTGCGTGCGTGGGTGGGTGCGAGTGTGTGCGAGTGTGTGCAGGGGGCTCGTGAAGGACACGACCGCCAAGGCTAGTTGTTATTTTTTCTTTCACTACTTTTATTTGACCAGATGAAGCCCACGGAGCGGTCCGCAGAGCGCCTTTTTCCCAGAAGCGACCTGGCTATCGCGAATGATCAGCTCAACGAAGTGGGCTTTAATCGTCACGTGGGGAATTTACGGCAGCCAAAATAATCGGAACGCGTGGTGATGTTGATTCTAAACGTGGAGAGAAAAAGTGGAAGGTCCGGAGAAATATCCACGCGATACGGAGGAGACCATTCACACTACAAATACACAGTATACAGCAGCAGGCGTCAGGGTCTGGATCGAACCCACGACCTCCTGCATACCAGGCGAGGGAGTGAACATCTCCTATGCCACCACGACAACAGCCGCCCTCCAACAAACAAAATAGGCAGTTAAAACTCAGCAAGGTAAGGTCCACTGAGATCTATAGTTCTTTACTCTTTGGTTCTTTCGGTAAAGTCACGCAGGTAAAAATAACAAAAATAATCAAATCACGACGTTTCGAAGGCAACACAAGCTTCCGTCATCAGGTGTAACTAGCACAGCAAAATTACTGTAAAAATCTATAATCTCTATGTATTTTTCCGAAGTGACCTGGCTATCACAAATGATAGCTCAACACAGCGTGGCTTATCATCACGTGGAAACGTATCGCAGCCGAATGCTCTAAAAACATTGTTGATTCTAAATGTGGCGAAAGAAACCATGAGGACTCGGAACAAAAATCCGCACGGCCACGGGGAGAGAGGCACGCAAACTCCAAATATACAGGCGTCAGGGCCGCGACCAAACCCATGGCCTGCTGTGCAGGGGCGGAGCCAGGATTTTGACTTGGGGGGGTTGCTGACTTCAATATTCTGAGATATCTCACTGTGTTTATGTTTTCCAATGGGCGCCACAAACGTATAAAACAAATTTTATTGGATTTGAACGCGGAGTTTATTAATAGGTCGGAGCCGCTGATGTGGCTAATAAGTTCGATAAGTTCGAAAGGCTGCCGCTCAAGCAGCCTGCAGGGCAGCACAAGGTGGCAGCCTGCAGGGCAGCACACAAGGTGGCAGCACAAGGTGGCAGCCTGCAGGGCAGCACGAGGTGGCAGCCTGCAGGGCAGCACGAGGTGGCAGCCTGCAGGGCAGCACAAGGTGACAGCCTGCAGGGCAGCACACAAGGTGGCAGCCTGCAGGGCAGCACGAGGTGGCAGCCTGCAGCATTTTGCAGCAGCCAGATATCCGGTTATCCCGATTACCGACTTTCCCAAAATTTCAGGGGGGGGCTGAGCCCCCCCCCCCAGCCCCCCCTGTGGCTCCGCTCCTGTGAACCAGGCGAGGGAGTTAACATTTCGAGAGTGGGTTACAAGTAACACACAGGTGGCGCATCTGGCAATCCACATTGAGAAACATGCATTGAGATGATTTAGATTATTTGGCTGCTATCAATTGCCACGTGATAATCCACTTTGTTGAGCGGTCATTTGTGGCCAGGTCGCTTCTGAAAGAAGGAGACAAGAGTTCGGTGGGCTTCACCTTGTAAGACAACAACAGTTTAGTTTTATATTTTTGTGATTTATTTACCTCTCCTATTACTTTACACTCCTATCATGTTTTTGTGTTGTTCTTTGTTGTAACGTTCTGACCCTTGCGCACATCTGTGAAAAAGAGCTTTGTGGCTCATCGGATTCCTCCGGGGTAAATACAGATTCTGATTCTGTCTCGGACAGTTGCCCTCTACTGCTACATGTGTGTCTGTCCCGTGACCCCCTGCGAGCGGTGAGCCTTCAACGCGGGCACTTCACGCGGCCCTAAAAGTGCACCTAGCCTGGCACGAGTGCAGTGGTGACGCCACTTTTAAGTGGCGAATGGCGGCTGTTTGTTGTTGTTTTTTTTTGTGTCATGAAGAGTGGAGGAGAGTGGACGGTGCAGTGGCGGCTTACCACTGATTCCTCGCCGTGGCGGGGGAATCGAACCAAGGTGGCACGGTGCGCTAACCACGGCGCCACCGCTGCGAAGCCCATAAGTGCGGAATGCAGATTGCGCTGCAGTGGTGCAAGAGGCGCAGCCCTGCAATTCCTTTCTCAAGCCACTGCTGGCGGAAGGACCTCCACTAGCGGGGGCTCTTAGAGGCCACGTCTTGGGGGTATTTGGCCTACTCTTCCATGCTGGCCAGACGCTCGACTTAACTTTCGGTGTCACCCATGAACTCGTACTGCCCGTGAACTTAGTTGGGAGCGGGGATTTGTTCAACTTGTCCATTGTTGTTTCAACTGCCGTGCCGGAAGATCGAGCCTGGCTGCGAGTCCGGTGTGCTCACCACTTACAAGTGTAGTGACGTAAATGGTGTCACCAGGGTGTTCGCGCCAGCTGCTGTTACAAGAGCGCAACTGTGCGCCTGGAGTCCCTCTCTAGCACCAGAGTAAGTGTGGCGTGTCAGCCAGCCCTAGGGGGCATAGTCCTGGCGATGGCCTGAGAGAGAGGGGCAAGGGAGGACATGGGAGCCTGAGTGGGGCACGTGATGCTGGGTCGAGATCCTTCGGGAAAGGTCTCGAAGGGGGCGTGGCCGAAGGCGGAGCACGGCCACGCCCAGGAGCATCAAAGGGGCAGTCCCGGGAGTGTTCTGGGCTCGTCTGTTGAATCTAGCCGGGGTCCTGCGTCTCAGCGTCTCCAGGTCTTCGTCTGGAGTTGACTCGCTACTCGCATCGTTTGCCACATCACCTACTATAGACGCACACAGCCACATCAACTACTATAGACTCACATATCCACATCACCTACTATAGATTCACATAGCCACATCACCGACTATAGACGCACACAGCCACATCAACTACTATAGACTCACATATCCACATCACCAACTATGGACTCGTATAGCCACATCACCTACTATAGACTCACATAGCAACATCACCTACTATAGACTCACATAGCCACATCAACTACTATAGACTCACATAGCCACATCACCTACTATAGACTCACACAGTGAGCCACATCACCTACTATAGACTCACATAGCCACATCACCTACTATAGACTCACACAGTGAGCCACATCACCTACTATAGACTCACACAGTGAGCCACATCACCTACTATAGACTCACACAGTGAGCCACATAACCTACTATAGACTCACATAGCCACATCACCTACTATATACTCACATAGTGAGCCACATCACCTACTATAGATCACACAGTGAGCCACATCACCTACTATAGACTCACACAGTGAGCCACATCACCTACTATAGACTCACATAGCCACATCACCTACTATAGACTCACACAGTGAGCCACATCACCTACTATAGACTCACACAGTGAGCCACATCACGTACTACAGATTCACACAGTGAGCCACATCACCTACTATAGACTCACACAGTGAGCCACATCACCTACTATAGACTCACATAGCCACATCACCTACTATAGACTCACACAGTGAGCCACATCACCTACTATAGACTCACACAGTGAGCCACATCACGTACTACAGATTCACACTGTGAGCCACATCACCTACTATATTCTCACATAGTGAGCCACATCACATACTATAGACTCACATAGCCACATCACCGACTATAGACTCACATAGCCACATCATCTACTATAGACTCACATCGTTAGCCACATCACCTACTATAGACTCACATAGCCACATCACCTATAGACTCACACAGCGAGCCACATCACCTACTATAGACTCACATAGCCACAACACCTACTATAGACTCACACAGTGAGCCACATCACCTACTATAGACTCACACAGTGAGCCACATCACCTACTATAGACTCACATAGCCACATCACTTACTATAGACTCACATAGCCACGTCACTTACTATAGACTCACATAGCCACATCACCTACTATAGACTCACACAGTGAGCCACATCACCTACTATAGACTCACACAGTGAGCCACATCACCTACTATAGACTCACATATCCACATCACTTACTATAGACTCACATATCCACATCACATACTATAGACTCACACAGTGAGCCACATCACCTACTATAGACTCACATATCCACATCACCTACTATAGACTCACACAGTGAGCCACATCACCTACTATAGACTCACATATCCACATCACTTACTATAGACTCACATAGCCACATCACCTACTATAGATTCACATAGCCACATCACCTACTATAGACTCACATCGTTAGCCATATCACCTACTATAGACTCACACAGTGAGCCACATCACCTACTATAGACTCACATATCCACGTCACCTACTATAGACTCACAGCCACATCACCTACTATAGACTCACATCGTTAGCCACATCACCTACTATAGACTCACATAGCCACATCACCTACTATAGACTCACATAGCCACATCACCTACTATAGACTCACATCGTTAGCCACATCACCTACTATAGACTCACACAGTGAGCCACATCACCTACTATAGACTCACATAGCCACATCACCTACTATATACTCACATAGTGAGCCACATCACCTACTATAGACACACACAGTGAGCCACATCACCTACTATAGACTCACACAGTGAGCCACATCACATACTATAGACTCACATAGTGAGCCACATCACATACTATAGACTCACATAGTGAACTACATCACCTACTATAGACTCACATAGCCACATCACCTACTATAGACTCACACAGTGAGCCACATCACCTACTATAGACTCACACAGTGAGCCACATCACCTACTATAGACTCACACAGCCACATCACCTACTATAGACTCACATAGTGAGCCACATCACATACTATAGACTCACATAGCCACATCACCTACTATAGACTCACATAGTGAACTACATCACCTACTACAGACTCACATATCCACATCACCTACTATAGGCTCACATATCCACATCACCTACTATAGACTCGAGTTACGTTCAGTGTTACCCGCTAGGGAAGTTGTTGAATAAAAGTGTTGCCTTCCAGTCCAGAGTGTGTGCCTCCGTGTTGAACACGACACATGGACCACGGTAAGCATCACTGCTGTAGAAACTTAACACATTTGTCAATGACACTGGGTGTGTGGCCACCTTAAATTAAAATAAATATAAAATGATTGACGTTTCGGGCAATTGACGCTTCGTCACGACGATACACACCACAGCACAAACCACGCACCACAACAAAAACCACAACACAGCACGAACCACAACACAAACCACAACACACCACAACACACAGCACGCACCACAACACAAACCACAACACACCACAACACAAACCAAGCACCACAACACAACACAAACCACAGCACGCCCCACAACACAAACCAAGCACCACAACACAAACCACTCACCACAAACCACGCACCACAACACAAACCACAACGCACACCACGCACAACACAAACCAAAACACAAACCAAGCACCACAACACACCACACGGATACTACAATATACGCACACCACAACACAAACACACAGCACAGGCAACAAAACACAGCAAAACACGACAGCATAACGCGCACACACCATGTCATATACATATACACACACCCACACATCACACACACACATCACACACACAATATAAAACATAACACGCACACTATAATCAACACTGGCCTTATACTACAACTCAGCAACTTTAACTTTCGACTTTTGTCAGATAAACTCGCAACGTCACCACGCGTGGCTACCCTTAAACGCCTATAGCAACTACAACTCTCATTTAAATACTGCCCTGTGTTAATCCACTGCTAGATGAATGACTCCACTTTCCCATTGGTTCATTGGGGGGGGGGGGGGGGGGGCTTGCTGGACCATACTTCACCACGCCGGTCAAGTAAATCTCGGTGACAATTAACAGATAGCAACAACAACAAAAAAGAATGACACGATGCGCACAACAATTTGAAAACACAACACCCGCAAGAAAAACAGAACCCAACTTTGCTCTTCTTTCTTGAAGATAAAACAAAACAACAACAACTCGCAGACGATTTGTTGGCAAGAAACAACCCGAAGCGAGTTTATGACTCCCGCCGTGACTCCGGTACCTTAACTCGGCAGTTCAGAACCCGGACGGCGGCGGGGTGGTGGACAGCTGATGCGTGATCACACCGCAGAGTAGACAAAAAGACAAAGATCCCCCGTATAGCCTTCAAGTGCTGTTAGCGGAGCAGAGCGGACACACGGCGTGGTCTGTGCGTGAGAGCCACTGACGGACTGAGCCGAGTGCTGGGTGCGTGACAGTGCCCGGTGGTGGTGGTGGGGCTTGTCTGACACGCTTCAATGTGCCCGGCCAATGCGAGCGCGTCAGTGTCTCGGTGAAATAATGAACTGGGAGACAGAGGGGCTGAGAGAAAGAGGGAGGGAGAGGCTCGACGGGAGGGAGCGAGCGAGCGAGCGAGAGAGTGAAACAAACACACACACACACAAAGCCGCCCCCCCTTGTAGCCTGGACAGACTGTTGGGGCAAGTGCTGTTCGCGAGCACCTTATGAAGCCTGGCACAGCACACGAGGGGGTGGGTGGCCAGCACCACGCCCGGCCGCCTTTGTCTCCCGAGTGACGATGTTTGCACACCGCAGCATTTGAGGCCGAGTCGACCTAGGTGCGGCGCAAGACCGGTTCAGACAATCTCCAGTTGACGGTTCGCAGCGCAGGCGCGCTCACCGCTACTACACTACCGCTTCCCCCCACCCCACCACACACATACATACACACATACACACACCTCTTCGCTCACATTCACAAATCCTTCCCCTTGAATCACTATTGTCCTTCAAGCCACACACACACACAGATACAGACAAAGATTCCCCATATAGCCTACACAGGCTGTTGGTTGGGCAAGTGCTGTTAGCGAACACCGATTGTGGTCGGCACGACGAACGGGAGGGATGATTTGACCCAGGACCACTCCACGCTGCCTTTGTCTCCCCAGTGTGTGTGTGTGTCTTAAAACCGAGTCGACCTAGGGGAGGTCCAGGACCGATTCAAGTATTCGCCACTGACGTGAGCCCGTTCGCCGAAAATACCTTTAGCCACCACGCCATACGCACCACTTTTTACATCACAATGCAGCATCGCGACCACACACTCTAGCATGTGAATCACAACGGCGTTGTAGCCCAACTTACCACTCTCACCTCCCTCGTGCCCTGCTCACAAAAGCACGCGCGCACACGGCACACACGGCCGCCTCTTCGTTCGTCTCTCTCGCTCAACCCGGCCCCCTTCGCTCCCCTCTGCCGGTCTGGTCCGAGCCCAGCTGGTTTGAGATGCAACCCCCCACCCCTCTCCCCCCCCCACCACTTCCCACCCAAAGCAATCACTTCCACGTGCAACTGTTGTTCGTGGAAGTGACGATAAAAAAGGGGACGTTGTACGTCCTAGTAGTCGTATTCGTTGTGTGGCTGATGTTGGCCGACAGCTGTAGTTTCACGTTGAGGTGATTGAGCCAGATCATTGCAATCGAGAGTAGCGGTAGAGGTTGCCTCTTCTTGTGTATATATAGATGTGTGTGAGTCTATGCATCACTATGGGAGCGTTGTGGGTCTGTTTGTGAATCTATAGATGCGTGTGAGTCTATGTGTTTCTGTGCGAGTCTATGGGGCCTTTACGCGTGTGTATAGTTCTTGATGCAAATCTAACGATATCTGTGTGACTATATGGGTCTCTATATGAGTGCATTCGTCTCAAGTGTGGAGCTATAGATATCTGTATGAATCGTATGGTCTCTATGTGAATATTTAAATCTATGTGTGAGTCTATTGGTGTCTGTGTGAGCGCGTGGCTCCGTTAATCCATAGATCTCGGCCTTCTGCTTCGTTTGGCTGATGTCGATGTAGAGCAACAGCTATAATTCAACATTTAGGTGATTAATGCACCGAATGATTGCGTCAGCCGGAGAAAAGTAAATAACTGTGATGATGCCTCCTCCTCTTTCGTGTTTGTGAATGTGGAATTGAGTCGTTATGTCCCATGGTTCCCGCTCTGGATGGTGAACAGTCGCATACCGCTGGAGAGTATTTAGTTTTGCATTTGTGATGTAGTGAGGATGTTGTCTTAAACTCACCTCTCTTCCCCATAAATTAGTACTGCACCGGTATTCTCCTACTTTTAGAAGCAACAGCGCAGTAGTATACATGGCGGTTCAAAAGTCAGGGCACATGGGGTTATGTAATTTATTTCAGCACTGGCATTATTTGTTTTAGTTAAATTTTCTTTCAGTATTTTTCAAAAAGTATTATCATTCTTTTAAAAAAATATTCTTCCTCCGGCTTTTCCCCTCCACATTGGAAACACGCGTTCAGAGTTTTTGGCCGCTATAAATTCCCACCCGATAAGCCACTTCTCGTTGAGCCGTCCTTTGTGGCCAGATCGCTTATGAAAAAAGAGCTATACAACATCTCAGTGGGCCTTACCTGGTAACATATACAACAAACCAAAAAACTGTTTCGTTTTTAGTTTACATGCACGGTGCGTCTCGGCCGTGCCAGAGTTTTGGCCGTGGGCTGATGTCACAGCGAAGGAATGCATTTGCCTAGGAAGCGAAAAAATTACAAATTTCCTTCCTCCCGCGAGAAAACCACGGCGACTGGCGAAGGTTCACGGCAAAGTCTCGGCGGAGCGGCGCTTCCGCTGTTGTCCTCTCATTTGCTGGGCATGCAAACTCTGGACTGGTTTCAACTTTCGGTGCCTCCTCAGCAAGCCGATGAATTTGCCACTGCAGCAGTGCCGGATGAAGCGAAGTTGCCGGGCCTGTAGCATATGTTGTTATAAAGGGGCCCTAAATATATATTTAAAAAAAAAACACAAGTTGAAAGACATTTTTAACTTGCATAGTAAAGTAAATTGTATTTTTTTCATTTGCTATACAGCCAGATAATACGACAAATCGCTAACCTTAAACACTCAGTCGTTCAAAAAAGTTGAAGGCGGTATAGTACGATAGTAGGTGAGCAAGTGCAGAATCACTGAACCGGGATTGGTAGCTTGAAAGCATTTCGCGCGGGGCCCTTGAAAGTGGGGGCACGTAACACTTTTGCTACCAGCATAATGCGGCGCTGCACTGCATCATAGCAAGACGGTGCCACAAAGCACTCTAGATCCAACAACCCAGGGCACGCATACCCGGGCATGTTACAATTTAACTTTCTGGCAATCGAAGTGCGACAATTCATTGCCGAGAATGTGCGTTTTGGTCTCGTTTGTATCACCCATCTTGTATGCGTTGTATTTTTTGCGTGCGTCCCATTCATATTGCCCATCTCGTATGTTTCGTCGGTCCTATACGATGCCTCGTTTGTATTGTCTCTTAATGTAATTTGTGTTGTCTCGTTCGTATTGTCCAACTCTCGTATGTTCTGTCCCACTTATAAGGTGTGCGAAATCGGCTCGCCCTATACCTCTCCTCCCGTGATCGTAACGCGGGGGACAGGCCGGCGAATACAGACAACAATGATAGACTAGTTCGGAGGCTTGAAACTGATTGTGGACCAATCAGTTTGTGGACCAATCAGTTTCAAGGACAATGCATATATTATCATAGTATGTTTTTTGTTTGCATTTTGACTGCAGGTATTGTGGTTAATGCAGACATGAATCCTTGTAAAAAGGTTTCAGTTTTGTTGCCAGAAAAAAAGGGGGAAACCCTATTATTATATTTTGGTACTGGCAAAGGAGGTCTAATGATGTAGATGCTCACCCCGAGCCCTCATTACTTTGATAGTGCATTGTCTTTGAGCTGTGTGACGCCTTTTGGCGTCATCTGGTCGAGCACCAATTGGGTCGAGGCTCAAAAGAAAGCCGTCCCTTGGTGTGGACCAATCAGTTTCAAGGACAATGCATCATATATTATCATAGTATGTTTTTTTTGCCTTTTGACTGCAGGTATTGTGGTTAATGCAGACATGAATCCTTGTAAAAAGATTTCAGTTTTGTTGCCAGAAAAAAGGGGGAAAACCCCTGTTATTATAATGAGCGAATACTCTGTGTTGTTTTCTGCCCTCATCTTGAGGATCGAGTGACTCCACCACCGAGGGACACCAGAGGGTCGTGGAACGGCAACTCTTTATTTCAAAGTGTTCTTCTGAAGAGCATTCGTGCATCTGTATGGCCAGATGCACACAAATCGAACCCACGTGACACAGCACATCGCTGCTCAATCCCTGTACAGCGTCCATCCGAATCTGAATAGATGCCCTGTACCCTGAATTTATTTCTACACTGGTGCGCGTGGCCTACTGTGCAGTCACGTGAGTCTATGGGTCCAATCCATGGTCATCATTAACGCCGTTCACAATTTTGCGTGCGATTCATTACATTAAGCCTATACCGACCACACACGCATGCAGATACAGCGCGCTCTCGTTCATGTTTGCTATTTTCCCTCCCAGAGGACATTCCAAATTCGCGTCAACTCTCGCTCTTCTTTCTACTGCGTCGGGAGTAGCGGAGTGTATAATCGCTGTGATGTCTCATTTGTATTTGTGGATAGGGCATTGCGTCGTTATACGTTGCACTATAGTCTGTTCTGGATCAAGCACAGCACCAAGGTGCTATGCATCTCACCAGGACTAAAGCAGGAAGTTATTTTTCCCCAATTACATTCCTTAAAGAATGATCAAATGGAGCAAGTCAAGATCTATAAGTATCTTGGGGTCATCCTTGATTCAAAACTGCATTTTCAAGATCACATTGATTATAATGGTAAAAAGACAAAAATAAAAATTGGTTTTCTGTATCGACAAAAGCACTGCTTCCCCCCTATGTTCCGCTTGGAATTGATAAAAGCTATCATACTGCCTCTACTTGATTACTGTGATATCGTATATATAAAAAAAATTGCAAGTCACACAGCTAATTACAGCTAACAACAATCACAAAAACATGGTTTATATGTTATTGACATTAATATAGCAACTGCCAAAATGAGCAGCAATGCAAAATGAGCAACTATTTCCTATGACAGCACAGTACTATACTGAAGAAGCTTGACTCAATTTATCACTCGGCCTTAAGATTTGCATTTAACTGCCCATATAGGACCCACCACTGCGATCTCTACATTGGGTCAAACTTAACATCTCTTAATGATCGACGGCTTGTGCATCAGATCTTATTTATTCACGATGTACTTACAAAAAAAATCAGCAGACTACCTGCTGGATCTCCTCACTGTTTCGAACAAATGTGATCTAAGGTCTTTACTCATTTACCAGCTTCACATTCCTTATTGCCGTACGAATACTGGAGGAAGGGCCTTTGCTATTGATGCCCCCAGGCTCTGGAATGCTATCGCCAATAAACTGAAACTTGAATCACTATCTGAGATCTTCACTC